GTCAATTTTTGTAATATCCTGAGGGTGGTCTAATGGAAACATCGATTAAGGTCTAAGTTACCCCACTAACAATGGCCACGTCTCATGCTGCCACATGTTCAGCATGTTTTAGTGAGTTTCTCCCCTGCAAATATGGGGTAATGTAGTGGATCTGGAGCTGTTTGACGATGTACGGCAACAACGGGCGACGATGTAAAAGCTATAGCAAAACGTGGGATTCGAGATTAACGAATCGCTTCTCGATAACCAGATCATGTCTCATATAGTGAAACTCGGTGATGCATACCCTGAGAGAAAACCAATTGCACCCTCAATAATGTACCACCAAGCATGGATGTATCTTCCTGCCCTCTTGATCATGACCCTGCAACTTGATGCATCACTGCAAGTGCTATAAGCTACTGTACCTCTAGTGGAGTTTGGGCAGCCCCGAAATTCTCCCAAATGGATCAACCCACCTTTTGATCGTGCGAGAGGCCTTTGGATGATCCATCCGCTTTCATATCATCGTGATTGGCGAGCCTTCCACTTTGCCGCCAGTCCGAGGCGGTGACAACTCTTTGCAGGTGTTTTTGTTTGTTTCGTCTTGTGTTTGTGCCTCTTTCTCTTCCATATACTACCTTTCTGGTACCCCAATGGAAAGTCATTCGTCTTGCAACACCATCAATCAATCATCATGACCGACAGACGTAGTCGTCGTGACCGTGATCGCGACAGCCTTCGAGTACCCCGCGCTCGACCCCACCGCAGCTCGAGGAACTCGTCTGTACGCTCTTCAACTCGCTCATCAGCCAACTACGAAGAACCTCGTCATCGTCACCCCTCGACCGGTCCAACTTCCCATCCCGCAGCTGCTCCAACTTCTTATCCTACCAATAGTCCTTATTCGTATCCATCAGCCGCCAATTCTTCTCGATCTCTAAGAGCTGCTTCGTCTCGCTTTTCTCTCAATGAGCAGTTCGCTGCTACTCGCCAAGACTTTAACCTCTGGGACGATGATGCGAGCTCCATCTATGACCAAGGGATCAATGAAGACGACGAAGAGGACGACGATGAAGATGAGGAGGACGAAGACAAGACCGAAGACAAAGATGAGGACGAGGACGAGGAAGACTCTGATGATGACGACTCCGATGACGAAGACTCAGAAGACGACGAAAAGGCTGCCCTAAGCTCGACAGAAGGAAATGACGATACATTACATGAAATTAGCAATGCACCACCCAGTCTGCAGGTTTCGGATTCCAACTTTTACGACCTCTTCTGCCTCCCACAAGGCGCACAAGATCTTTCGCAACAGCAGATCCGAAACGCATACTACCGTCTTTTTGTTCTCTTTTACCCCGAGAGTTATCCTGCACATCTGCGTCCAGTTGCTCGCCAGCAATTCCTCCAGGTCCAAGATGCTTTTGAGACACTCATCGATCCAGTGCGCCGAGCGCAATACGACGTAGACCAGTTCGTGCAAGCTAAAGGAACGGAAGCCGTCGAGTCTGAATACGAAATCGCGTTCCAAGAAGCTGTTCGGGACCGCATACAAAACAGTATCAGCACCAACTCTGATTTGGGTGTTCGACTGGATGCATCTGAGTCGACCAGTGGCAGACCAAAACTCCAGATCCTGGACTTTGCCCTCAGCCATTCCGTCACAATCGAGCTTCCAGGAGTGCAGAAGTTAGTTCAGCCTCAAATTGCACGAATAGAGAGCCTTGCTTTAAAGAACGAGAAGAAGACAACAGAGAGTCTATCGCAGCCTGGTGTTCAAGTAGCTACACCCACGGTGACCATTACTGGGTCTACTTATGGCATCTCGAAGGATCTCTCATCAGTGCCAACATCACTCTTGTACGATCGGTACCAGCCTCTTCTACCCCTGACAATTTCGAGGCATAGACTTCTGCAGCTTGTCGAGAACAAATTTGCACCATTGGCCACTCTTCAATACAGACAAGAGTTCCTCAACCGCAAGCTCTCGCCATCGCCAGAGAAGTTTAGATGGATAAAGACAGCTGTTGAGCTCGAGGCGGATGTTTTGCCTGAACTTACCGCTAGAAGTCGTCTCTATCACCACTTTCTACTGCCCAAATTTACTGAGCCTACCATTGCTGAAGCTAGCATACAATCTTCGCGAGATTCTACTGAGTTTCAGCCCCGTGTTGCTCTCGGCCTTTATCAGAATCTGCGCCACGGTACTGGCTTCCTCCGCGCAGATAGTGGTGACTGGGCCTTTGGTGCCGAACAGTACTCTCGATTCTTTTCCGAGCACTCTACGATAAACCCGGATTTCTTCAATGCTGAAGCGCCTGGAGCTACTCCTAGCATAGAACTAGGTTTCCGAACGGGACAGTCAGACCGATTGCCAGCGCCAGGTTCCTCGGATACCCCTGGCGACGAGGGTGGGATTCGAGGTCTCGACTACGAGATCAACACATGCCAGCATGGATCATGGGCTATTTCCGCTTCTGCCTCGCCTGTCTCGGCAGCTGGTGCTATAAGATATAGCAAGGACCTGGTTCTGCCTTTCCAGGCTCCACCAACGTCGTTAGATCCAGGCATGCCTGCAGCAGCACGTCTGGAGGCAGAACTCTGCTCAAACAGATTCCAAGATCAATACTTGGCTGTCCGTAATCTCTGGCCTGTTGGTCGTTTTGCACGCATTGGTATTGAGGTTGGCATGAGCATACACAACCTTCACCTCTCCGTCTACTGGTCTCGTCTTGGTCAACGTCTGAGTGTCCCCTTACTCATCGCTCCGCGATCACTACTTGGACCCGACATCCTCTTCTGGGCTGGCGCCTTGCCATTTGCTGGCCTTGCTGCAGTGCAACTTGGCCTCAGCTACCGCCGTCAACAGACTGCGCGTTCGCACCGACGTAGTCGTTTAGACATATCCTCTACCGACAAACCAGTCGCCATTGCCCGACACCGATTTGAAGCAGACAACATCACTACACTTCTTACACAGCCTGTTGAAGTCCGCCAGAAGGGTCAGATGACCCTCAAAGGCCTCGTGATTCTCAGTGCGAGGTTTGGTGTCCCTAGTGAAGACGGCTCACTCGTTCCAGGCGACGAAGTTGCCGATGTAACTGTCGCCGTTGCGGCTTTGATCAGTGAACCTTCTTACGTCAACGGACCTGCCCTAGTGATCCCTCAAGGAGTGCGCAAGAGCCGTCTGCCAGGCTTCTGGGACCCTGCACCAGGCCAGGACAAGGTTCTCCGTGTTGAGTATCAGTTCAAGGGTGAGGCGGGCTCTATTGAGGTCAACGATCATGATGAACTTGTTCTTCCACCGCAAGCTTGATTCATCAAACTCTTTTTTTTTGTCTCGGAGCGTAAATAAAAGAACCATGTGTTATGAAGATTGACGAAAATTTGAAAACGAAACGAGAGTTATGATAAAGAAAAGGAACGATGGCATCAAAAAGCGGATGATATATGATTGCATACATTGGGTGTTGTATCATGGCAACAATATTACAGATGATTTGTTTGGTAAACAGAAGTGTACAAAAGAAATAGCATAAATATTGATTTTCACTCGAGTTACTTTTATCCGGCAAGACATTTCATCTAAGCTTTCTTGCATAAATAAAGTGATGCTCATGCCTAACAGTAATACCAGTAGCATGTCGTTAAAGGTGTTAGTCATCAACATCTATAATTCTTGTCCAATCATATATAATCAGAGAAGCAACACCATACCATCTCTCCAACTTTCTCGATACGACTTCATTCGACGGAATAATCACATCCACATACAAAAACCATGTCAGTCACACTACACACGTCGCACGGCGACATAAAAGTCGAGGTATACTGCGAAAGCGTTCCCAAAACCGCAGAGGTTCGTAAAAATGACAATCTTGCAATTGCATGCACCATGGACTAACACATGCTAGAACTTCCTCGCCCTTTGCGGCTCAGGTTACTACGACCAATCCCCATTCCACCGCGTCATTCCCAAGTTTATGGCCCAGACTGGCGCCCCCGCGACACCGAATCCTCCCGAGAATCCCAAGGGCGGACGCAGTATCTGGGGAGGTGCATTCGAGGACGAGATCCGACCTGCACTGCGACACGGCGCGCGAGGTGTGCTTTCAATGGCCAACAAGGGACCCGGGACCAACGGATCGCAGTTTTTTATCACGTTCGACAAGGCGCCGCATCTGGACGGGCTCAACACTGTGTTTGGACGTGTGATTGGAGATGAAGGTCTAGCGACGCTGGCCAAAATGGAGGCTGTCGAAGTTGATCGAAAGAACAGACCGAAAGAGCCAGTTCGTATCGAAAACGTCACGATTCACGCCAATCCGCTTGCCGGTTGAGACTTGCGTATACTTCCACTGCCTTTGCGGAGATACTTCGACGCCATAACTTTACATGCGATACCCCCTATCAAGGTATCAGAAAAATTGACCGCTAGGAGCATAAGAGACGAATTAGATGTCACCTTATGCTACTTAGGCAACACTTCCTAGAGTACTCATTTTTGTACCCTAAGACTTAGGATGCCAACTTTTCTGCTACCCACTAGCCACCAAAAGAAGCTATTGAACCACGTCGAGTCCACGAACGTCACATCATAAGACCAGATCGACTCATGTACAGCTTTATACGAGAGACTATTAAAAAAATGCAAAAGAGTATATCATCATCCGGCGCGCAACCCTGATCAGGTCCTGACTTGGCTCTGAAGCGAAACGTCACTCTCAAGATATGAGGTCACCAAACTAGGAATGCGTCCAAGCACACTAGAGACTTGGAAATGCTGCGAAGCTGCTTAATGAGTCGTTCAAAGCGGGCAGTCATTTTAGTAATCACTGTTAAGCAATATATAATTGCTGCTATGCAGCTCCGCTGGATCTATGACTGAGGGGAAATGTTCTCTCCTGCATCACCACGTCGCTCACAAGACTCGTTCAACTTGCATCCTTCGCGCCGACTTACATCAAGATGTGTTTTAGAGAGGCACGGGTTCTCGCAGGTCTGACGATATCAACATGAATGGTTCCGTTTACGGCCTCTTCCCTAGCGAAGAAGAAATGGAGTTCTATTACCTTGGTCTACCAAGCCGTCCGACTCTTATTGCATGCATACTGGGCTGTAGGTCTTTTACTACGAATGGCAGGTGGCCGATCTACAAGACCTCAGGAGTCGTCGAGAAATATAAAACTACCCCAGTCTCGCAGCTGTCACCCGAGTTGCCGTTTTTACAACTACATCGTCGCTCGCTTTTCCGACTGAAATCAATTATTACTACAACACCACATCGCTTAACTTATCGACTCATCTTCTACCAATCTCCTCAAGTCGTTGGCATGGCTTTAACTCAGATTTGTCTGGTTTAGCATCTACCTCCTCAGTTGCTGTTCTGTATCAAACTCCATTATCCACCAAAGCCAAAATTTCATGATTCCAGAATAAGAAAAAACCGACAGCTGCCAGCCGAAACTTGCTCAACAGGCATGAATTGTCCTGTGTAAGGCCCTCTTATTTCTCCCTCTGTCTTTCACACCACGCACCTTTTCTTCGTTTAAACCAACAGTACATCTTCGAACTTCTAGTTTTTGTCCATCATTTGGACCAAGATGGACGAATTTGCAACGAACCTCAGACGGCCTGTCCGACCTGGTAAGTCCACGCCCCCATATTCTATTCAGCCAACGTATGCTAAAGCTCTAAAAGCTCGCGGTCGACGTACCGAAGTTTCTGAAACGCTCAGAATTGAACCTGATGTCTCTGATGGACTTTCTCGAGCTTCTCGAACATCCGGACTACGAGACTCGTGAAATCATCGACCTGACCGATGATCGTTCTCGATCTCCTCAAGACCGTCGTGGACATGATGGAGGCCAAACTCTCACTCGTACCGTCATCGCATCCTTCACCGACGTAGCTCGTGGCCGTGAGCCAAGCATCCCAATCAGAGCTCACTGCAAGCTTGTTACTGAGGGAAAGCAGAAACTAGGCGAGTGGCTTCGCCGATCTTCCCGGGCTACAGACCACAACCTTCGTGTTACTATCTGTGATTTTATTTTCACTGCTACCTTGACGCAATCTTTAAGTACTGGTTCTCAGAGTCATCGGTCCCTGGCGAACCCAGCCTTCGCAACCGCTCGGCCTTTGAAACAAGCATCGAAGTTGGAGTATTTAAAGTCAGTGCTCCTCTCAGTAAGGCACAGGCCCGGAAAGCCAATCCGGCTCAGAATCCAGCACGCCTCGCTGGAAAGCCTTTCTACTGTCGTGTTACCATTAACTACAAAACGGATAGGGTTAACTTCACCTGGAAAGACCGTAACGGTGCTGGAGTCGCCTATGATATCATCTCGTTCACACCAGATCTTGAGCAAGAAGAAATCCACGACCGGGCTACCGCCAACTACGACCATTACGAGCTGGAGCGCGTCAGATCCCACAACAGCGCCATCACTGTTGATTGCGCTCGCCGTGCAATCAAGGTCTGGGCTCAACGCGGCACTGAGGATGACCCTGACATCGACGTTCAAGAGCCTCAGGGCCTTCAGACATGCTCATCCGCTAGAGATCGCGTCGAACCAGCAAAGAAATAAGTGTAAATAGAACAATCCAGTTTCTCAATACGAGAAGGATATCTGGTTGAAATAAATATCTATGATCTCTCATGAATCCTGAGTCTGTCTCTGATAGTTGTTCGTTCTCCTCTTACATGGTATATAGTGAGCTCTCTACTAGGTATCCAAGGATCAATCACGATGTGTTGTAACTTGGCTCCCAGTTGTCTCACTTGTTCATTTTGTGCAAGCAAATGCCTATAACGTTTTGACTGTAAGCATGGCCAATCGGTTTTTAGATAAACGTTTAAGTACTTGGTTACTTGTACGGTGTTTTCCCCGTGTATTTAAAACGTGTTGTTGCTTGTGCGTTGCGTTGAGACTGACGGCTAAACATTCCACTCAATTCAGCAATACTTTATCTAATTCACAAAACGCTATCAATGGTCAACTTATCAAGGAAATCCTCGGATTCATTGCATGTCGATAGTTACAACTTCTATTGGGAAATCCTACACAGGTACTCAGTCACCCGAAAGATTTGTTCATCGTGAACCTTGCATAAAACAGCCAGCGAATAAGAGTCTCAAGCGACACAGCATAACTCGACCTATACTCGACAGCCACACAACATACATCAAATGTGGCTAACTGTGGCGTTTGTTCATTACACACCCCCTTCTATGTTGTAGGTATTCAATAGTCGGTGTTATTTACATTTATTCTGCACAATATGTGAAAAGACGGTGTGAGATGGTTTGTCGTTGCAGTCTCGCGTCGTGGGATGTTTAATTTCCGTCCCAGCCATGCAGTTTCTCCTCGGGTGGAGAAATTTGTAATTTCATAGCCTTTATTCACTTTCGGCCGAGCCAAATATTGCTACCCTACATGAACAAGAACTGGACCAATGCGCGCCTCGTCAATGCGGTGAGCACTCCCTCACAGTTGACCTATGCGGTGTATATGTGCTCTAATGACAATTCATCTGATCTTTGTTTATACTTCCCGTATAAGTTATGCGGTATTAACTAGTAGTTCTAAGAGAGGAGTCTAGAAGCGGTGTCTTTACCGTCATTTTCGTAGACTTACACCGTTGCACCGGTTCCTGCAGAGCGAGGCATGGAACGGTCTTCCTAGATGCCACTACAACGAGACTGAAAATCACAAAAGACTTAGTGGTAAATGAATAATGATACTCAACTATGGGGATCGTCAGAGTCAGCAATTCGGAATCCGTGTCTTGTCTCGGAGAGAGGAACTAAACAATAACCCTATGGCATTTTCACCACCAACGCTTACATGTCAGGAACATGGACGAACCAACAAAGACAAATACAAGCACAAGTTGAGCCGTTTCTTCCGACTCATGAGACATGCATGCATCCCAAAGACCGTTTGTTATTTCTATATCCATATTCCAGGACGCTGGTTCGTAGAAATGTGAAAATGGCACAAGCCTCTTGGTACTGTGATCTGGCGAGCACCACACCCAATCACCGCCCAGGAATGTAGGTTCTAGCGCCTTATACATTATGACACGACAAGTCTGTGCTTTGGCGACCTGCAACCAATATTAGCATAGCAGCTCCAGGCACACCGCCAATAGTATCAGATTTGATCGTTAAATGCCAACAGGCATTATCCAGGGGGCCAAACCTTAGGAACCTACCTCCCTTACTCCAAGATTATAACCTACAAAGCTAAGTTATCTAATCCGCTATTAATATATATCATGCCCTACATCAGTAGTTCTATGCATGTGTGACTCCTAGTCAGGGGTTCTGAATGGACCGCCGTTAAGGAAAAGAAAAAGGGACAAGAAAGCGACAGCCATTTGGCGTCTGTCCCGAAATTACAACCTCCCCACAGTAGGAAATTTACCTGACGTCAATCTGCTCTCCTAACCTCCACTCCGTGCATCGACGATCTAGACCTTTTCTGCCTAGAGAGTGAACACAAAATTCAGAGTCAAAGAGTCAGAGTGAGACAAAAGAGAGATATGGCTGAGCAAATAAGTGCCGACGATCACGGATGGACTTGTTTAAACCAGATCACATGGAACAATCAATATCGATTGCGGTAGCAAACATCCACGAATACTGTACTGTCATCATCAAGATTGCTGTTGGAATGAAGAAATGGAGAAATGAATACGATTTGGAACAGTTCAAAGTTAAAGAATTTTTACTTCTTTTTTTGTGCCTGTCTTTGTTACGTACAACTACCTATACACGGGACAGGGGGCCGCTTTTGAAGAGAGGAACTATAGTCCAAGCTTCATAAATCCAACCAAAGGCACCAGTAAATGCCAAAATCCCTCCCCCGAGACCAACTACCAGCAGGCTTTCCCAACCGAACTCCATGTGGTCCCGTACACCTTCAGAAGAATTATGCAGACGTATCGTGTGCTGCAGTCGTGAAGAGTAGACTCGCCTCATCGTACCAGACCGAGGTCAAGACACCATCGTCCCTGTCTCAATAAACGGTCCATAGACCGCCTTTTCCCATTTCCGGGAGGGTATCCTTTTATCCACTGCGAGGGACCTTTTGGTGCATTCTCGGTCTCCTTTTCGTTCTTTGATATCCGTGTCGTCGAGAAGGCTCCTCAACTGTAAATCTATGTCACCAACCAGTTTACCCCAGATGGTGACCTGTTGTAGGACCTCTTCGGGGTATGCGGATTCTTTCCACACCGGGGGAGCAAGTCGTATGGAGCCTGATAAAATAAAATGCAGAAAGTTTGCTGAAAATGAAGAAGAAAGGGGTATGATCCGCGTATTCCTTTTTTTGGTGCCGCTAGACTTGATGTTGATATGAAAAAAAAATGTTGTTGAATCGCGGGGGAAAAAAAGGAAACAAGTCGCTAAATGCCAAAAAATAACAAATGTGAAAGATCATTCTGTTGTGCGACCATGCAATGATTTCGAACAAATAATAGAATGTCGCAAAAGATTGTGTATGAAAGTCAAGGTGATGTACATGGGTGAACGTCGAGGTCGAATTGTCGATTCAATATCTTGTCATGAAGAACATTATTGGTTCATGCCATGCTGGTTAACGTATCCGACGTATTGGTTTTGTTGTTGTTGTTGTTGATGACCATATACTGCCGCATGGTGAGGAGGCGTAGGGGTGACTGGGCATCGCGGAGGCAAAACATATGATTCCTTGGCCAAGTTGTGGTTACCCATTAAAGTGTTACCGTCCGGGGTGATCGGGGGAGTTAGGTATCCATCGAACCCCATCGCACTGTGCCCTTTTGAAGGTGTGCTGTAGATGTTGCTCGTGTGCTTGTTGATAGGCTCGGCGAGGGGGGTCGCAGGGTTAGTGCTGGCAGCTCGACGGGCAATGGCAGCTTGCTCAGCCATGAACTCAGCAAGTTTCTGGGATACGCGAGAAAAACCGGTTGTTGAGTACTTGCGGGCGAGTGTAGGTGATGGCTGGTGAAGGTGATGCGATAGAGTAATCAAGGTAACGTTCTCTGTTTGATCCCAACCGCCATCGTTGACTTCAGTGCGACCGAGGATGGCCCGAGCAAGTGCAAGCGAAGATCGAGCCATGACCGAAGGCTTGGTGGAGACAAAGTCGCGGTGGTACAATGCAATCTCGCAGAGGTAAGCAGCCATGTGCGCAACTTCCTGATCATCACCCTCCTCCGCCACCATGAGTTGTGAGAAGAAGTCGACGGTAGGGTGGCCAATGATCCAGTCGAGGGTGTTGAGGACGTGCATCTCCATCTGAGTGAACATGCCTGCATCGTAGAGGCCGCAGCACATGTTGTTGAGCTCGTGAATCTGAGGAACGCGATCCTTTTTATCTCCATACTTGGCAGCGATGAGTAGAGCGGCGCATCCAACCAATTGGTAATGTTGCTTGTACACAACTCGCTTTGAGCAGTATCGGTCGAGGAGGTTGACAGTCAGGAAGAGGGTTTCAGGTAGAAGGCCAAAGGCGGCGTGAGCCTCAATGAGGAAGTCGATCAAGTAAGGTCGCATAAACCATTGGATCTCGCGTTGCATATCGATGAGGGAAGCGTCAGGTAGAGTCTCATCCTGTGACTGGTTAGCATATGAGATGCGCAAAAGTGTCATCTCTACTTACCTCCATTTGTCGCATATGTTGCATGATATCCTCGAGGTATTCATCACCTGCTAACCGTGAGAGTTCGACGCCAATGATATCTTGTCTTTGACGGGCCATCATTCTCGCTGCCTCTTGGGCTGTGATTCTATGATGAGGTTCATCGGACTCGACGAAGAAGGTGTCGTCATGTTGAGAGTAAGCCATGTTGACGGTAGTGATTTGTCGGATGGCGTTGATGAGTGGGAGTGTCTGGTGTGGCTTGGTGTCGAATGAAGGACTGTCGGTTCGCCAGGAATCTTGTGGTCGGATAATTCGAAGTTGAGAGCGCGAATGATTGTTGATTACGAGATGCAATAAGGAATGATGCAAACCGATGAATTAGGATATTAAGATATTAATGAACGTGTAAGAAAATGAAAAGAGTGGTGGCTGGTAGAAAGAAACCAGGAGCATGTAGCTTTACAGATAATGGAGGCAATGAAAGAAAAGGGATTTGGAAAGGGGTCGTTTAAAGACGATATCGACTCAAGGTCTCTAATGCGGCATGTGCGTCAGTATGAAGTTGATACTAGTGTGTGATCTCGATTCTGCCAGGGTCGCGCTCTGTAAGAGCGGCTTCTGCGATATCCCTTGGGCGATAAATTCTAACAGACAGTGGAGGCTGGGCTGGCACGAATTCGGTATCGAGGGGGGAGAGGAGTCAGTCTTACCAGCACACGTCGGGGAGATGGGCAGAACTCGTTGAGAAGATGAGACAATCCCTGAAATTGAGTGGAAACAACGAGTTAACGTCTCCCACGAGCAATCTTCAAGGAAGGATGGAAAAGAAGCGTCGTTGTGAGGAAGAGAGCGGTATGCGGAAGTAAGATACCAGGCATGCAGCTGTTCAGAAGATTAGATACATATGCTATGAATAAGGCCAGACTCGAAGGCCAGGTTAGTGACATACCTCTAAACTCTCTGGCTTCAACCAAGACAGTCCGACCGAAATTGACAGTGATGAAGTCGAACAGGTCGGTTGATTGCGATTGTGCGTGATGGGCTGGAAAGTTGGATAACTCTCTTGTCGTATAGTTCTCCTTTCCTAGTGGTCCGAAGGGTCACTGGGGAATTTGGTTGGCGAACTAGTTCTTCGTTGCTTCGATGAAGTGAATCAAGGGAGCGGGCACTTCGATGGGAGGCTTTTCGTCGGCGGCGGGAGCGAAAGCGGGAGCGAAAGAGGGAGTGAATTCAGTTGAGATTGGAATTCCTGGTGGGTTTGAGACGCAACCGAGGAATTTTACAGTCAAGCAAGCTGGAGGGAAGGAATTGGCAGTTGAGAAAAAGAATATAGTCGAAAAGCGAAATACCAGTAAAGGTGTTTTTGATTCACTTTTTTCCCTGTTCCTTTTCTAGATCGGTTCGTCTCACAGCCTCGAAGGGTTTCTTGTTTCCTGGCCTAGATTTAATAGGGTGGAAACCGCAGGAGGGAGAGATGTTGAGCGAAAGAAGCCCTTGGGGGTGGTTGGGTGAGTGGATGGGAGAGTCGATGATAATTCTCCTCGTCTCAAATTGTCTTCAGGCCTGCTCGGGAGAGTTGAAGACTAAATGAGAGAATGAGTGAATCAACAAAACGAGAGGAGGAGGGGAGGAGGGAGGTAGAAGAGAGGTAGGAGGAGGATAGAGAAGAGGGAAAAGGACTGGGTGAGAGGTACGCGACTAGAGTAGTTTTAACCAACTGTACATTAACTTACCTAGCTAGGTAGTAGAGTAATGCAGAGCAGCAGCGTAGAGCGAGATTCATGGATCCCATGGATGGATTGGATGGGACCCATCCTTGCTGGGGGGTGAAGGTGGAGAGAGGTCAAGGTGTGTGCCAGGATGTTGGGTGTGCAGGATAATAATAAGAGTAGAGGAGACCAAATGCACCTCAGGCAGGCTAGAGTGCTGTTGAGCTGCTTCTTACTTCCTGCCTCCTTCTGCCCCGGGCTGCCTGACATTGACCTTGGACTTTCCTTGGTTTCCTGGCACGGGTACCGCTTGCGGGTACGCGCGACGCTACAGTTAGGTACTGCAGGCAGGTACTGTCGGTTTCTGCGCGCTGGGCAACGCAACGCAACGCCTGGAGTCGCGGGTGGAGGTACCTAAAGCGGCCCCTGTTAGGAGACTGTCCGAGGAGAGATGGAGGCCACCAGGAGTTGCACACCTACTGGACCCAACCCATATTATCCACTCAGAATAGAGCGGAGGAAATCCAGACAAACCAAATCCTGGTAGAAGACCGAAACATGAGAAGAAAAAGGAAGCTTCGATTTGCTTTTACAGATCCATGAATTCAATTCAATACCAATCAATAATTCATCTAATAATTAACGTCTCCTGTTTTAACCTTTTCTTTTTTACTTTTCCCATCTCTGCAAAGGGAGTCTTCATCTCCTCTTTTCTCCTTATCGACTCATCGGGCATCGCTTCAATATCTCAAAAGCTTCTCTACACATATTATTACTGCCTTCGCTTTTGCGGGCTGACTTGCGCTACTTTGACCTCACCATCCAAGGAACGAACGGTCTTCGGAGACGGGCAGGCAAGTGGTGGTAGAGCAGGCGGGGGGGCTTGTCTTGGCTGAACTTGACTTGACTTGGTTTGACTTGGGTGTGAACTGCACTGCACAGCACAAACTTATCTGCATAGCACAAGAAACGGGGTGTGCAAGGCACGGCAATGTACATACATACACATACATACATTACCCAGCTTTGGTGGACGCTAATAAGCTAAGATCCAAGGCTTGACGTGAAGCGCGTGTATCAAGCGTGTGAGCCTCCGCTGGTCCTGGGCGATTTTGTGCCAATTGTGTCGTGTCGTAGCGTGTTCTTGTCTCTCGGCTTGGGATAATACGGCCTAGCTTTGAATTGTGAAGGCAGGGATCCGCGAGGATGGATATGGAGATGGAGACTGGGCGTGTGAGACGGACGATTCTCGAGATGCACGAATGTGAATAATACAATAAAAAGAAAGGTTGTTTGACGATGAGGCGTTGGGGCCTAAAGAAACGATGCCGATTCAAAAAGAAAGCACTTTGCGATGCAGATTTCAACACATTCTGGTGGGCATGGATCGGATTGATTCATCACGATTATAATTGCAGTTTCTTATTCATCCGGTTCAATAGTAGAGACATTTGTCTGATACATGATGCGAAACAATGGCTTCTAGACAGGTTCTTGATCATGAAAGCAGTAAAGCAATCTTGAATTATATACCGCATCGAGTTGCGGAATGCTTGGCGCATTCATCAGTGAGATTGAATAACCTCAATTTCTCATGCACTCGGCCGAATGATAGGTGAATTGTTTATTGCATTTGATCAGCATCAAAGTTGAGCTCTCCCTCTCTCAAGGAGCCACGACATGTTCACTTCTTATTTATTTGTATGTTTGTTTGGAACTTCTGCTTCACGGTCGCTTAACGGGCACCAGGCGGCCACAGAAAGCGGCCCATTGCCCTTGTTTATAATCATTTTACGTCCATTCAATGACGGACAGCAACCAAGCGGCCCATTGAGGAAGCACTGCACAGGCTCACCACAGCGAGTCGGCAGACACCAGCTGTAGAGGACTGTCACATTTACAGTACAGCAAAGCAAAGCAGCATGTAGGTCTTTATCATGCCAACCAAGACAATGGAAAGACATGTTTGAATGTGTATTTAATCATGGCCAGGTGTGCCCGGCCTCGTATAAAGCGTCATATTGATTCAGTTGTCAACGCACTGACTGGTTGGCTGTAACAATAAATAAGAAAAGATGGCCACGACCGGGCTTAGTCTGATGTAAACGAAACAAGAATCATGAGATACTTTACTTTTACCGTCTGTACTGTACTGTAACCATCTCAAGATAAGGTGATGGATACCCAGGGGGTTGGTTTGAGACGATGCACCAATTATAGCCAAAAGTGGGAAAAGTATAACTATCATCTGATGGAATATCGCATCAAATCCGTACCTAGCTTACGAAAGAAGTCGCTGTTGCTCCGGTTGCAAAATGCCTTCAAAGCATAGAAATCCTGTCTTGTACAATGATAGTGTCATGGCATGACAAAGAAAAAGAAAAGGCTTGCTGCAAGATGGCACACGCTTCTGCACTTGGATGGAGTTTCTAGTTCCGTAACTTGGACAACATGAACAATGTACATGGTCATCAACGAATGGCTGGTCAAGTAAAAAGTCAAGCTGCCGTCCGGAACGAGTCTTGCGTTGCGTTGCTTTGCATTTCGTTGCCCGGCACAAGCAACCCGCGTACGAGTTAACGTGGAGTAAGTTAGCCTATGAACCAAACCAACTGCTACTGCGGCTTATCACCCACAAAGCTTGCAGTAGTGACGGGAACGTGAAGCCATCATCGCGTCCCGTCTCGTCACGTTTCGACTCGACAACCGTGTCGTTCGTTCCTCAACGTTGAAATTCATACATGCCTACCCGACGCGGTACTGCGCGACGAGACTTGTATTAATTAGTATATTACCGTCTTGGTAGTATAGTGACTGTTAGGTTTGAGTAAACACCTATGGATCCGGTCTAAACTTGACTTATCTCAGACAGCCCGATTCCCCATCCCACCGCTGGTGACGGATGGGGTTTTTGAGGCGTTGTCATATCAAAGCCTGGACCTGTCGCAATGGCTGTTCTATTGAACTGAAAAGGGAAGCCTTCGTACATGTCGCCATACATTAGCCAGTGTTGAGTTGAGTGTCGCATCATTACTTGAACCAATCAATTGGCTGTGTCGCGCTTCAGTGTCTTGAGACCAGTTAACCATGCATGCATGCAATTATTGATGAGTGAAGAAGAAGCAGAATAAGGCAGCTCGGTATGCACTACCTTTTATCCTGCGCAATCACATAATTCTCCACGGAGTGTCAGCAGTCGTGCTAAAGTTAATAGAGAGACTTACTCACTGTATTGGAGCTGTAGGTAGCCACTGAAATTACCAGATTAGATTTAGCAGACTGATATGCTTCTTCCATTGGCTCTTTAATTCTTGTCCGCATCTTATGCTGTTTGCCTACTAGCCTTAGTGAGGTACGTTGTGCTGTGCATCGCAGCTGTCACTTGTACATAACCAGATGCATATATGCATACGTCCCCATCCATTGATTATCGGCTTTCTAGCTGGAAACGTCAAGTTTTATTTTATTTTATCGCGGTTCCCGTGGTGTTAGTTCATCGGCGCGGTCCTTGTCCTTGTCCTTCTCCTTCGCGTTGCCTGGTTCGAGCTCACGTACGGATACGTTGTTCAAGGTAATGCTCATCAGGGGTGACGGCCCGGGCGCTGTACAGAGCACAGCACCAAAAGTTGTGAGACGTTTGGGTTGTCAGCTCTATACGATACGTACTGTACCAAGGTATGTATCGTATCTGCTGGATCTGAAATCTGAGTTTGAGCTGAGTCTGATTGTCAAGCCCGCTTTGTCCTTGCGTATCATTGTCATTCGCCATGTCGTAGTAGTCAAGTTTCCGCTTTCCGAATCTCCACTTTGAGGACGCACGCCATTCACAAATTTGACACTATTCGCATATCCCCTACATAAGCATAATCAACCATTCAAGGAGTTTTGCTGCAATTGTCTCTCTCCATGTGAGCTGTCAATCGCCATCATCTCAAGCCTCATCTGTCTGTTCCAGACATGATCCCCTTAAACAATATTAATCTCATCATTCAGGGCTCAAACAAGTGCCAAAAGGACGCCACCCCAAGCAAAGAAAAACTAGCTATTCATCCTTTTCAACCGATGGGCATCCGGTTGGACCTCATACGCCCATTAGACCCATTCTCATAATACTCCGTATTTACTCCTCCTCCATAGACGATCTCGGATTTCACCAGACACCCATACATATTATCCATGCACGACGGGTATGGTACGGTAGTTTCCTAGTAAAAAGGAGGTGCTTGGCGATACTTTTGACATGCAGTAATAAAACGTGGTGATTATTGTAACGAGGCGACTTAGTCCTTGTTGGTGCGTAGTGGCAGGTCCATATCGACCGTCATTATACATAGCGCCATGGAGATGGATGGAGACCTACCGCCCGAGCGACCTGAGGCCAGTACTATACCTTGGTACGGTGGGTTTAGGTTGATTAGTAGGGGTGGGCTATTTGTAGATTGAGATACCGTGCTGTACCTGGGCATTTCATGTCACATCACATTGCGTTTCAAGGATATCTATCACCAACAGTTTTTTCTGCTCGTCCCTTTTTTTACCCCCAAGGATATGACTCCTTTTGAACATGTTTGTTTGATTCATCAAAGTCTAGCTTCACCGAAACTCTCGCTCGCCCATCTTGCCTTTCTTGAACGTGCCATGCCTGCCTGTTTGCCGCTTCAATTTGCTTCTCTGCAAGGGAAGAAGAAAAAATGGCACTCTCTCCACCACCTACACTACCTGTCTAACTACATACGCCGCTCACACATGACAAAAGGCAAAAAGGTCCCTCGTGCCCATACCCATGCCGAGGGAACCGTAACTTACGCTTGTAGAGTAGTATAAATGGCACGCATAAGTGGTTAACTGGGTCACAGGCATAATTACCTACATACGGGCCTGCGTGCTAAGAATTCTTGGGAAGATTATGACGCAGTGATGCTGTGCAGTACAAGCAAGAGTCAGTTATCACAGTGGAGGTGAGAACGAAAAAACTCTACTCTCTAGTGAATGCAAACCTCCACAAGTTGCCCAGTCGACGAGGGAAGACGGGTTCGAGATGGAGGACCAGGAAGAACCAGTAACGAGTCAGGATTCTGTAGAGGTGGTGTTGTGTGAAAAGGCCTCCATTGACGATGTCATCATAGGAATGTTGCAGTCATTCAGGGTCCAACATTGACCATCTAGACCACATGTATTTTTGCATGTATGTAATTCTATTGTAGCGTAGTAATGTTCCGAATGCCAATGTCATATCCTTTCATGATAACGTCTAGACATGATTTCAGCCGCTTTGTACTCGGTGCTACTGTCACCCCCGTATTGTAAGGCAATAGCGTATCCATTGACATCACTATGTGCAAGGAGGAATTGAACTTGTTTGCTTCAAAGTTTCACCAAAGTCAGGAACATTTGCTCGCGTGCCATCTGCAGCCAGGCGTGCGTGGATCGTCAAAAAACTCGACATTATTTTACTCGTGAGACGTCCATCCAACAGTTACAGCCTGGACACAGGCACAGCACAGGTATAAACAGGTACAGACACAAGTACATGTAGACACACCGAGCTACAATCAGCCGCAATGGACGGACGTGAGGGTGAGAGAGCGAATGGGCCCGAAAGCCGGAAAGCAGTAGTAGCACCACCAGTAAAACTAATAACTACACGTCCAACTTAAACGGCAGCACCCCTTTATTAAAAGACCCCGTCGAGTTCGCGCACCCACGTTTTTATAACGCGCCCGCGTCAAATGGCGACGACGAAGACGCAACGCAAGTTTGCTGGGCACTCGATCATACCAATGAGACGCCTCAGACGCGCACCTCAACCTCAAGACTGCTTCTGGGTTGTGGGGGGTCGGGACCCAGGTTGGTGGACTTGTCACTGAAAAAGGCAAAACGGAAGATTGAACCCAAGGGTGAGCTAAGTTTAGTTTGTTGGCTCACGAACGAACCCTGTAGACTTGCATGCAGGAGGAAGTTGGGAGACAGAAATCCTTGAGGCAAGGAAGAGTTGATCGACAGTATTGAATGAGCGAAGTAGAGAGGCAAGATTGAACTAAAGCAAGGGCGGTAGTTTAATCTTGGGTGAGGCAATTGAAATTCTATTGCACCCAAATGAGTGAGTCTCTGGGCATCAATAGCCTGATAACCGACTTCTCATCGAATTCAATATGCTTGTTTCCTCTCCTTTCCTTTCTTTTTTTTCTGTCATCAAACTTGTTCTTGCTCACTTCTCACATGCAGTAGTTTCGACGCCAATGAGGGGTAGCCCCAGGAACCACGCCTAGGATCCCCTGGACGTTCCCGACGCGGAGGGTCAAGTCAAGATCTGGACTGCGCTACCAAGAAGAGGATGGATGGATGGATTGGATGGCGTGTGGTGTGCCAGCTTGTAGATCCTCTAATTATGCAATGCCTCATTCGTTGCAGAATCCATTGTCCTCTGTTGGATAATGATGATGATTCTTTGTTCTGGTTTTGGATCCATTGTGACTGGGAGGAGGCTGGAGACACAGGTATGTTTGTTCTTTGTTCTTTGTTACCATGGTTTTATGGGCCATGGTTTAAACTCTGAGCAGTTCGTTTAGCCGACCAGACAAAAGACCTTTTCTCTTGGCTTGAGAAACCCCTCACGTCAGAGGAACATCAACTCCGAGCACGAATCAAGCAACAATCACGACAGTTGGAATATATTCTTTGAGACAGTATTCAATGTTTCCTCCGCAATCAAGCATCTCATCTCTTGCCGCAATTGCCTAGGTACACCCTTAAATTTCAGGGCCTACTATTTCAGAAACCTAGACAAGAGACAAAACAATAGGCGGCCTGGGCGGATCAGCACAAGCCACAGCCAGTCTCGCGGAAGCCCGGTTGAGCCACTTTTATTTTTCCAACGTCGATCCTCCTGGAGAACGGACCATTACTGTACCAAAGATTCTGCTTGTCCCTGAATCTCAACACCAAACAGCCTCAAATAGCTGGGATATCGAGTGTAGTGTAGCGTGGGAGATTCGCGACTTGAACGTGAGTCAAGTTGAGCCTAGGTTTAGTCTTTACGCTACCAGACTGTCTGTGATAAAAATGCAATGTGATATACGGTACAGCCTACCTGCCTAGCAGGTAAGCTTGATCCATGTCCCTAGCAAGTGGCTTTTTGCCTATTGTTCAACATGCGTCAATGGTCTGACTAGATTCAATATTTCTACGTCAATCTGCACAGCTCAGTACCGTATAACTGGGAATCGATCCATCGCCGCGTCAATCAATTCACAATCAGGTTCTACAAGGCTTCTAGGCTTGATCAGTTCCCTACTTCCAGGATGCAGGTTTCAATTCTCCCTCACATTTTGCTGACTTGACTTGACTGACGTCTTCACATGGCGGATCTGAGCCTTGCAGTACTTTTCCATTTAAAGCCTAGAACCCTGCAACTATAGACAACTAGCGAGTGGCTTTTGCCCCGCATTCACTTTGAGATTCGCGGTCCGACCTTCCAATCAGGTATCACCATTGGGCTCAGCGAACAGACGACTCGGCTCCATGGAGCAAAAAGTCGTGAATATATTAATACGTACTCAGTTACCTCTCGAGATCCGACAGTCTCCCCAGAAACGACAGAATGGGTGAAACAGTGACCAGAGCGTGTTTCGGACCCTTCTATTCATCTAAGTCCCGGATCTCGCGCCCTTGACCTCCAAGACCGGCTGTTCTCAATGCATATTCCCGTGAAACCGTGGAAATGAAGACCAGGTATTGATTGAATGGAATGGAGCAGAGCCGCAAGACGTCGGAAGGAGTTGTCTTGTCTTGTAAAGTGGACGGTTGAGCAACATTCGTCCATGTACTACTTACTTACTGTGCTACTATGCGTGGTACCGCACGCCTGCACAGGGCTTGCAGAGGTTCTGTCAGTCTCACATGTTACAGAATGCCAATCGCAAAGCTTCATAGACGTGATATACGTCAGGATGTGCAAGCACTTTGGAAACTAGGCTTCGTTAGAGGGCTCGTATGGTCGATCATCAGCTTCACTCTCCCCCTTGCAAAAGAGCGCGTTAAGTTTTTGGCTGGCTTGGCTGTCTTGGTGCTGCAGAGTTAAGGGTCAGAGTTACAACGCCTAACCTTAGGTAAGGGTGCGAGACAGGACAGAGCCAGAAACACGTTGATCCGTCCGTCTCGGATCGAGTTGCTCAATTCTGGCGTCAGCCTGAATTCGACATGATATGGATTTTTCTTTTCTTTTTAATGATGCACCATCCCTCGCTTCGCCCTGCTGCCGTGCATAGTGTTGCGTCGCTGCCTCCGCCTCGACTCATCACCAACGAATAACACCCAGGCCGAGACGCTGATGCTGACACTTGACACTGAAAATGACATGGTCACTTGCAATGCAATGCCTGTAGCTGAACCAAAGACCCTTATCTACCCCGTCCCCTCCATTCCCAACCCCCGTAACCTTTTTCAATACCGTGTCTGGTGAGATAAACGCCAAAAGGCGCCTTGGAAACGCGCGAGCCTTTTAGATGATTTGCAGTTCAGCACACGTTCCACGTAACATGGGTTGCTGCAACACGCGTGAGATAGAGGAGCCACTACAGTAGTCCTAGCCCAATACACCAGGGGAGTTGGACAAGTACATACATAAAATTATCACCATCATCGTCATCAATGAATATTCCACGCCCATACTTAATTGAAGCTTGTCACCAAGGGGTAGGGAGTCTGCATACATTGCATCACATCGGTCGCTCCATTCCTTTGCTGGGGTCACCACCGAGCGCAGGCTTTTCTTTTGCATGAAGCTGTCACAACCAAACAATTGATTGATGCTGACTACATATTTTCCACCTTTTAGCGGATGTTGCGGTTCGGTCTGCCGGCGTGCAAGGACCATGACAATCACTTTAATAATAAAATTTGAGTCCATGATAGGACGGACATTAGACAAATGATGATCTCCTGAGACAGGCGATTCCCCTCGAATTAGTCGATAACTGCATAACATATTATCTGGTTGAAAAAGTTGCACGCATTAACTTGGACACCCACTCTTTTTTTCATCCTCATCGTGTCGGGACCACGAGAGAACTTAGCGACTCGTGGAGAAAGAGATCTTTGCCTCTCCGAGGACTGAAACCCGAACGCTGTGACTGCGCGGATGTCACCAAGTGGTTCGGAGTGGATTTTTCCCTTTTCCCTTTTCTCTCTACTTCGTCTTCTTCCGGCCCGCGGCGATGGATACAGCCCCTCTCTATCCTCGACAATTGCCGTGAGCCGTTCAATACATACGTAAGATTTTACTTGGTTTGCCCGACAGAGTGGTACTTTATGGGGCAGAAGACGGGAATTCCTTGCCTCGTCTCAAAAACTTTTTTTTTTCTTCATTTCGTCCCCGACCATACTGCAATTTGAGGTTATCCACGATCACCCATCAAGGGGACGAATGAAATAGACAGGATGGATCCAGAAATTGCACAAGCACAAGCACAAGCACAAAACGCACGTGTCAGGATCCATGAAGCTGCACCTAGCTTGGGTTAAGTCATCGTTAGGGGCTAACTATTGGACCAAAAATGTTCCAGAAGCCTTCCATGGAGCGGAGCTACCCGCCTAAAATGACGGCACCTCTTTTTTCTCGTGCTCTCTTTCTCACAGGCTCGCATTGAAATGAGGCTGAATCACCCGAGCACTATTCTTATTTTGGCTTAACACTAGCCCCCCACATGCCGGGTTCAAAAGCACTAAAATTACGGTACCGTACCTTCCTCCATTCAGGGTCCCATATTTACGCGCTTCAGTTCAGGACAGTACAGGCAAGACGTATTTCTAATACATGCCTGGCTACTCTTCTCCTTTCATCAAACTCAAGCTACGGTCATCTCCTGTCTTGCTATTGTGCACGCCTCTTCTTCCTCCACAGCAGCGCCGTTCCGGGTCTCGTGACCAACCGTTATGCAAACTTTGGCTTGCCTGCAGAGATGATCCCCTAACCACTACTACTAAGCGGGCCAGGCTCCATCCCTCGCTTCCTCACCATAGCGACGCAAGGCAAGGTTGAGAAGCGAACCAGCCAAGCCAGTCGAACTGGATCCATGACGCCTCTACGGATACGGAAACGCCATATTCTTTCCACGAACGCATTCAAGATGCAAGGGGAGGGAGTTTTTTATGCTATTGAAAGCGAAAAAGAAAGTTAAAAATCCACTCCTCACTAACTTACCAAGTGCCAAGCAATACATCGCCGAACGACATCACAATGGCATACATGCACAGCCTGTTGGTGTCCGAAGAGGGTGGAAAGAGCTAACCAAGCCAACCTCGCTTTTTTCAACGATCGCCCCAGCGATATGCATGAAAATCTTAACGTTCTCCTCATCCGACAGATACACCTTTTACTTATTAAATCACAGCTCCTCTTTCGCGCAGCGTTTCTCTAGTGAACGAGGCATTCGCCACTGAACCATGCCTTAGTGCTCGGTGCTACTATGCCCCTCCATTGAGTTTATTTAATAACCCGACAAAGAGATGAAAACCTCGGCAGTCACGGTACAACGTCGACTCACAAAAAGCCCCGCAAGAGTACCGATGGATTTCAAATCATAATTTCTACATATACCGTTGGCAAATGTCGGTATGCAAACTTTTCGAGACCCTGCAGGCGGAGAATACCGAGCGAGGTGACACGGAAGAGATTTTTCGTGATAGCTTCATCCTGTTGCTATCTCAACTGTGTTCTTGCCCTTGGGTTCTGGCCCTAGGGTCTAGTGGGCCCCCAGGGCAAGAATGCCACACATGTGTGTAGGTCGACTTGACAACCATTCTTCAACCAGACATCTATGGGTGGCTGGTTGAAGTCAACCGTTGAGCCTGCATGGAAGCTCAAAACTATACAGACTGACGTGCTTTTACGTTGAGCTGTTTCATATGCTCCTCTGTTGGCCTGGAAGGGTTCTTCAACCCCATCTTCCTGAACAGTCCCTCTTGCACCCTTGAAGGTGATTAAGGTCGACATTCCGTTGTAATGTCTCAATGGACCCTTCTGGTCCCTTGACGGACAAACAAGTCTTGAGGTTGTCAAACTTTGAAGCCATGTCTTTGCGCTTCTCCAGGGTAGGGTCCACTTTGCGGGTCTGATTTCGCGGGGGTGCATATACATATTATCATTGGTCAGTTACCAACTGGGCATTCTGTTCAACAGTGAGCGACCCTAGCCCGACTTGATTCACCCACTACACCAACAAGCACTCTTTGTTGGCGTCTTGTTTCACTTGAAACGTCCCCGCATCTTAGTTGTTGATACCCTCATACCTTCTTTATTCCCCGCAAAGGAATCAGTCAGCATGTTACCAAGTGGTCACGATGTCCAATCTACAAGGTTCATCAAGGACGAAACCTGGGGATCATGTCCAAATTACCAAGATGCTTTTAGCCATGCACTCTTGTGGCCCAACAGCATCACAGAAGCAATAATTGCCTCTCATTATGTTGCTGTAGACGATGGGATTTATATCGCACGCGGTATGGGGTTTCAAAACAATGATAAACAATAATAAAAACAGGCATGGAGATAAGACTCAGGAACACCCAAGTGGGTTGTGTTCTGCAGATGCGAGTGAGCGACAAGGGTTCTTTGGCTCAAACCCACGATCTTGAATCTCAGGCCGAAGAGGCCAAGAAGCCGACCATCCAGTCAAAAAATTGAAGACGTCCCAAAGAGGATTGGTATCCAGCTTTGCATGCATTTTGATGACGACGAGTTGCAGTCAATGGTTCGTCTTTAAAGGCCAACCCCTGGTCTTTTTAGGTTGATAACCACCACTTTTTACTCTCTAAGGTCTGCCCTACCAAAGATTATCCGCCTACCAACCTGTTGCGGACCAAGTTCCAATTGCCTAGTTGGGCTAAAGGATTGCCTTCAGGAACTGGCTGACTGGAAACTGTCAGCTAGAGGTGGGAGGCTGTGAAGATGGTCATAACCGAGCAGCCTATCAGCGTCCAGAATCGACATGTTGGCTGTGGACGCGAACGTTCCCCTCTGCAGATCCGCTTACCTATCCACCCATGCATGTGAACATGCTGGTGTTTTCGGATTTTGATGATGGCGATTTTCATGGGATTTGCGGAACATGATCATTATGATGCTGCTCGTGTAGTAGCACAGCGCTGTGCTGTACGAGGCCGTCGATTGATCAATTGGTACGGCGGGTGATCTATGAACCCCGGATGCATCGGAATGCGGTCAAGTAAGTGGCATGCTGTTCAAAATCCCTGACCAGATTCAACAGTTGTACAGTAAACAACTTTATCACGCAATTCGCTGTCAGAGAATGGTGCTGGCAGATTTGACAGGGCATAGCCTTGTTGGGGATCAATGGTGATGTCGAGATACGGCTTCTAATTGGCTGAGTGCTTTTACATGTTTGCTTTTTCGAGACACCAAAGTCAGAAGCTGGAAGCTGGAATCTCCAACGCAGCCACTGAGAGGAGGGGTCTAATCTAGGCGAGGCCGAAGACTCGTTTGATCAAAAACTTGTCTGTCTTGCTGCGGAATCCAGCATTATGCATGACAGATGACCCGCGGAACCTGCCGAGTCGGATAAAACACTGACATATACCGCATACCTGACGAGATTATAAGGGTAGCGAAGCAAGTTGCCATGGCGGACAAACATCCCAATTGCGACACAATATTGAAGCTTCTTCGCCGTTGAGTTTGCCAGAGCGCCTACACTCTCTACCCCTGCTCCGAACCTTGGCTCGTGCGGCAGTCATACGGTTCGTTGTCTTCTTTTCTTGGTTCATCCCCGCACTGAAACTGGAAATGTGACTGGGACTGGACATGGGTTCATGATCGCGATTGAGAGACAACCCGATCCATTTGATTCGAGGCTACGGAGAAAGAAAATACGAAGATATTTTCTTGAAGCCTCGAATTTAGAGCGGCACGCGCTGTCTCAAGTTTGGGTATGGCAGGAAACTGACGGGTAAACTCAATGGCTTGGCGATGTCGGACTCAAGGCCCAACTGTCAGCGTGCTGTAAGTTCAGTCCCGACAATTGAACTAACAAGGCTCAGGGTTGAAGACTAGCTCTTGAACATCAGCCGATTGATGGATACAGAGTACGAACAATCTAGCCGTTAAGGCGCCCGCGTAACACCAAACCCTGGATGTGCGTGCGTTGTCGAGCTTAGCTTTCTTGATTTTGATCAGTTCTCCCGACTCTCCTACCCCATGTTTGTTTCAATAGCTCTAAACAGAAATGCGATGTAACTCGGGTCGTGTCAAAATAGCTCGCTCACCATGTGCCGGGTGGACCGAGGCGATAAGTGCATATTCGAAAGAGAATAGCTTATGATACCTGCGCCGGCTCGCACTTTGGAATTTGTGGCTTGCTGGTTCTGGTTGTCAATGGTTTAGATACTTCCATTTACGGATTCAATGGCGTCTTCTAGTTCATGGCTTGGGGCTTGTTGTGGCTTGAGCTATTGTTGACAACACAGTAGTTGCGAATCTTTTACTACCTGATAGACATTGGTTTACCAAGAAGACGGTTCTTGTTTACCATCTTCTGCAAGTCAGAGCAAGAGATCTGTTTCGCGTACTGAAGCTGCCCTACTGCATGCATCGGATATGTACTGCGCCACGATAAAAGTGCTACTGTCCATGCTCGGCAAGGATCTCAACAGGTTATTCCTTTATTGTTGATCTAATGCTTTCTATTGTGTCCTCTGATTTGGCACAATGCTCAATAACAATAAACAAACTTTCAATCGGAAAGATCGCTATCCGGAGGTGTCGAATTCTCCGATAGGACAGGCTGAGTCCCTCTCTTTCTCCCTTACCCTATTTCGATAAACATGGCGCCATTGTTAATTCACGGCTGGGCCTCGCCCCTCTGAAATGTAGTCAGTATGGCTGACCCTATGTGTTTCTTTGCTTGTTGGTTTGCTTGCTAACGTTGGAATTCTTCACCCATGATCCTTGTAGACGGTTCAATTACATGAGTTTGATCCATTGGAGAGCACAGACATAACCACGCTATCAAATACAAAGGCCAATAGTCCTTTGTCGATACGCGATGCAGCTGAAGAGAGGCCTGAAACAACTCTCTTGGTCCTGCGCAAACATACCCAAACCAGGCAATCGATTTTCGCGGAAATCTGGGTTATGGGATACAATCCCTGCTATTGCTACTGTACGGCACAGACCCGCATGCTTGCATACGAATCACATCTTAATCGGCGATTGCTCTGCTTCATCGATCTATTGCTGCCAAGTAATATGGGAAACATGGAAATCTGCTCATTTGCGGTGTTTTTCTCAAGATTCTATGTCTTGTTCAAGTGAAACTAGCACAAGTGCAGCAGCAAAAGTCAACAATGGTGCATGTCAACTTCGGTCCTTTGGTGATGTTTTGGTGTGCTACGACTCTGGCTTACACACCATACGGTATTATCAGCACATCTATAGGGCTGTAAATCAGGGCAATTGCAGGATATCACCCGTTTCGAACGGCCTAACACATTTGGGTATATGGGATAGATGCTCGTTCAACTCTTCACGAACCGCTGTACGACGTCGCGCAAGTGCGCTTTTTGCCTCCTCGTACAACAAACGGGATGCAATCGTCCTTGAGGAACAGGAACGGGGCGCTTCTCAGGTTCTACGGCACAGCGAAATTGAGAGAAACGGAAGAGAGGCAAAGCAATTCGCTCGTCGAGGCCAGGGCAAGCGAGAAGGATGGATGGTTTGGACGCTACGGCCCGTGGGTGTGTGTGTTGGTGCTATAGGTTAGGTAGGCTCGACGTGTAATTTGTTGACGTTGATATGGCTCTATCTCAGGTATATTGTTATTGTTATCATGTCTTGAGCGCGTCTCCCTCTTCGGTGAATCGATACTGCAACCTCCCAAGCCTAAGCTGCATCCTCATCGAAACGCTCAAGGAAATTCTTCTGTGTGTACATGTCCAAGATAAGAAGGCCATAAGACCTCAACCAACAGGCTTACTCACATCGACCGTAATCATCTCAGCCCGAGACTGGCCGACAAGGGCCGGCCCATCCAATACAACACAGCCAAATAAGAGACCCATGGTTAAAATGCTTGCAGGTACTTCTATGACACTAACTGCGGCCAGGAGTTCTCTTGCTAGGGCTTGTACACTGCTCCCGAGAGCTGGGTAGGCGCTTTGATTGGTGTTCTGGATGCGCTGAAGGTAGTTGTCGTGGTTCCAATAGATGCTGTCGACGTTGATACTTGGTGCTTTGACAGGCGTGATAGATGTTGTGCGCATAAGTGATTGATTGATAGGTATTCTAGGTACAACCATCTTCCCACAAGCTGAAGTTACTGGCTCATGTGATTCTATTAGACTGGAGGCGTGTTATCAAGTACTTGTATGTCACCAAAGAAGCAGGTAGGCAGGGTCAGAATAGAGGAGACTATGATAGTATGCATCCATGTCTGTATTTCCATTGGAGTAAGAGAAAATTAGCTACTCGGGGCATAAGAGGTGAATTCCGTCGTTTTATGGCAATTTAGACTAGTCTTAGGTTATTTGCTTGCTGTATTCTAAGATCAAATCTCAAGCAAGTAGTCTCAAGTACGCAGAGTTCGGTTGCAGATCGAGTCAAGTCTGAAGGCACGCTTGATATTACCGTGAAGGTTGTTAAAGCCACCTGAGTTTGGATCATCATGAATATCGCAAAATGTGGCTGTGAACGGTCCGTAAAGAGCTGCATCAACTACAACAGCGACTTCAGCCAAAGCCCCTTGACGTAACCCCACTGAAAGAAGTATTAATGTTAACTCCTCAGTATCAAGCCCCCAATTCTCCTAAATGCTAGTCAGTACAGTCCTGTGTTCGGTAGGTTCTCAAGATATACCTTGCAGTAAGACAGAAGCCTCGCAGTATCACCGTGAGCCAAGCATCTAGGCCCATTCATCAAGTAATCGAATAGCCTTGACATCTCATCACTGACTTCGGGCCGCGGGGATGTCAGGTTTGTGTTAGGGGATGCATCGTGAACGATCTGGTCTCTATCCTCAGGTTCCTGATTCGAGATCCCACTCTCGACAAGATGAGCGGAACGATTGGCGGCACTACGTATAGTGCGCGCACCATCCGCAGCACGTATAAGAAGACTACCGGGCTCGACCGTAGAGATAGGTATACCATCGGCGTCGCTTTCATTGTCAGAACCGTCAATATAGTCCTCATCTTGAGAACCATTAGTGTTATTCTCGTCGTCGGAACTATCCGTGTCGCTCTCATCATTAGAACCATCAGTATGGTTCCTGTTAAAAGATTCGATAAGCTCTAGTGATTTCTTTCTGATGTTTGCTTTGTACTTATCGAATCGACCTTTTTACTGCGCATCCTTAACACCATCCGTACATTCGCGATAGAAATAGATATGCTCATGGATATTCGCGGATAAGGGGCCAGCAGTCCAGAGTTCGTTCTCGTTCTTAAAATCCAATAAACGACATAAAATGCATCTACCGTGGCTCATCATGCAGACAACGAGTGCAGTCTTGTCCCGAGTTGTTAGGTGTTGATGGACTCTGTGATTAAACACCTCTGTGTTCGTTGGAAGCTGGAGGCGATTGAATTTAGGTGGATTTTCTGGCAAGTACTCTCCAACCACCAAGGCTAGATTTTCACTGTTTCATATTAGCCGATATTTATATATAGGAGGCCAGGACTTACACAGGAACGTTGTCGAGGTCTAGGGCCCTGGCAGAGTGTACATGTTCCTCAACGAGACAGCATGGATGTCGGTCATTTTTTGTGTCCGTTGTACTATCCCCTTGAGTTCTTTCGATGCGGATCAGTTGGAACTCGGCTCTGTTGGGTTTGCCTGTGTTATAGGCAACATTTGCCCGATTAAAGGCAAAGTCTCGACTGTAACCGGTCATTGCAGACGATGCGCAAGAGGATAGTACTGTAAAATCAAGTTAGCGATGGATGATGCTCCAAATGAGAGAGTTACAGACCGTCGGCGACTGTGATGCAAGATATTGGAGGAAGAGGGCAATGTAGGATGATGATAGTGCGAGACGACGTCGATGCAAGATGCGAGAAGAGAAGGATGCAAGAGGAGGAAGAGAGGCCTCTTTTATGCCTAGACATTGGTGCCAGTGCCAGTGCAGTGTCCGTGCCTGCAAGTGACAGTGAATCACTGCGGTCGGCCAAATGATTCACACACCTGTTATTCTTAACTTTCTTCTTTTTATCTTAAGTCATGAATGGTAAGCGTAGAACCAGATATGTTGTTAGAAATATGTGCCCTAGATGCACTTTCATGGGGGAAATCGCATTTGCATCTTGAGTCTGGCAAATTGACTGACCATTAGATTGTAAATACGACCATTTATATAACAACTACGAATTGAATGCTTTATCCCGGCCGTCCACTGAAACCAATGAAAGACGTAGAGAGATTCCAGAAGAAGGGAATAGCTAACACGTGACGATGATTCCTTTAACTCCTCTGACAGTTTCCAAGGTGGCAGAGATGAGGACGAGAACGACACGACGATGATATCAGCCTTGAAATTGGCCTTGAACTTTACCATGAAACTACAATGGATGTCGGCTAACTTTAACATTCTAGCTTGAAGTGCATAATGTAAACTTGGAATTGGCAATATGGGTTTGACCTTGTCAAAGAGATAAAAGAAACAGATACGTACCCAGCTAAGTACTTACTCTACTTGTAGGTCCGTGACCTAAATTATATGTACCAATATCCATTCGTACCCAAGATGTAGTCGACACTTAGCAGTTGTTTGTTTAGATTAAACCCAGATATACGGGCTTGCGAACCCAATCACGGAGAAGTAGAACGCTTGAGATGTGGCTCTGGAGTGCAATGCTTCCTCTAAGTCATGAGTATATGGCTGGTGTGCTGGATATATCCTGGGCATGTTATGTAAACTGTTTTGTCTCGTCTCGTCCTGGTGGTTACCTCTTAGTAGAATGATCACCTTAAATATTTCAGGATTGGAAAAGACTAGAAAGCCTGAAATTCTTTTCTTATATCTAGGGCATGAGACATATAATAAGGTGGCTTTAAAATATTCTATGAAATATTAGATGTTTCTCTGTCTTTTACTTGTTTAACAGTTGCTTGCATTATTGGTACTTTAAAGTATATTAACAGTCTTAAGGGCAGACACCACCGGCGCTTCAACGCTCAAAGGCGAAATAGAACCATTAGTTCTCACTCTTTCTCCTAATCCAACCTAGACCCAGGTAAGCAGATTGTATTTAAGTACATTCAAGACCCTTAAATCCGCTGATGTTTCTTCCTGGACTCTGGGGTTATCTATCCAAGCTAAAAGCATGTTTACAACAACGCTTTTACGATAAACTTCTATAGCTAAGAAATGTATGCTTAAATACTTGCAAGTGTTAGAAGTACTACATATGTACACTTTGTATATTCGCTGTCAAGGTCCCAAAGTGAGATTTGCTTAGGTCTTTCTTTTAAGGCAGTCTGATGAACTGTTTGTTAGTATTGGTGATGTGTTGTTGGTGTTAGCTCATGATCTAACGATTGCACAGTGGAGCTTATCGATAGTGCCGTATGGAGCCATGCGAGCTAGCAAGCCAAGCTCTTAGCGTTCCAACCTCAATCAACTTTCTTCATTGCACGCGTTTTCCTTTGCGGCATCAACAACAAGAACCAGCTTTTCAATTTACACGCAATAACCGAGTCGCAATGTCGGCGATCTATAACCTCGAACCGCAACCCACAGCGTCAGTCATCATCCACACCACCCGGGGCGAACTCTCTGTCGAGCTGTTCGCCAAACAAGCGCCGTTGACATGTCGCAACTTCTTGCAACTAGCCCTCGATGGCTACTACGATAATACTATATTCCACCGATTGGTTCCGGGCTTCATTCTACAGGGAGGTGATCCCACTGGTACTGGCAACGGCGGAGAGTCGATATATGATGGAGGCGCATTCAGTGGCGACCTGGACCCTTGGCCCATGGACCAGCGCATGGGCAAGAACGCAGGACAAACAGGAATCAATTTCAAGGATGAGTTCCATTCGCGTCTCAAATTCAATCGCCGAGGTCTGTTGGGTTCCGCGAACGAATCGCGTCCGGATACAAACGGCAGTCAGTTCTTCTTCACTCTCGACACAGCTGAGGAATTGAATGGAAAGAATACCATGTTTGGACGAATTGCCGGCGATACTGTCTACAATTTGGCAAAAATGGGCGAAGGAGAAGTTGATGAAGCTACGGAACGTCCAACCTACCCAGTCAAGATCGAGCGCATAGAAATCCTGGTGAACCCTTTCGAAGATATGAAGAAGCGATCTCGAGTCGCTGCTATTGCGCCGTCCAAAACAGCTACAACCAAAGACAAGAAGAAAAAGCGAAAAGGAGGGAAACAACTACTGAGCTTTGGCGACGACGAAGGTGACGATAACATGCCTGTGCTGAAGAAGAAGAAATTTGATCCCAGGGTCGTTATGGAAGCTCCGGAGGAAGCTCCGGAGCAAGACGAGGCTCGCAGCAAACCAGCAAAGGCCAAGAAGGAACGAGCATCGGAAAAGAGAGTGTCAATCGTTGAAGAAGACAAAGATAAAGATAAGGACTCCGATCAGGCCATCCGCCGTGGGCCACTCAAGGAGGCTCGGCAAAAGCCTGCCCCACCTGTCAAGATGGAGATCAAGGACGAATCACCCGAGCCGGAGGCCCCCCGAAAGACAGCATTGGAGCGAGCCAATGAAGAGATGGCGGCGCTCAAGGCATCAATGCGACGGACGATACACTCTGAAGAACCTGTGAAGGAAAAGAACAAGTCTGCGCTAGAATCTATGATCCCCGAAACATCAATCAGGGGACGAAAACGAAGACCAGGGACTGTTAACACTTCAGCAGCGGAAGACGCCAAAGCGCTTCGAATGCTCAAAGCCTTTCAGTCAAGACTGGAGAAAGCACCTCCGGAGAAAGAAGACGAACCAGCGGCCCGTGAAACTACTAAGGAAGGGGGAGACGCGCAAGCCGGAGACACGCAAGCTGGAAACGAGGAAGCTGAGTTGTGTGATCTGCACTTCATCGCAAATTGCCAAAGCTGCACGTCATGGGACAAGCAAGAGAAGGACGAGAGCGACGACGAGGGTTGGATGTCGCATGCTCTCAGCTTTGCGGCGGATAAACTGGGCAAGGACCTAAGTAACCGTAAAAAGGCGGAGGAGGAGCTTGTTGTGATTGATCCGCGCGAGAAGGCTCGGACTCTCAAGGATGAGAAGAAGGCAGCCAGGGATGCACGACAAGGAAACTCGGGTCGAGCGTGGGATCAAGCACGAGATGCAGCAAGGAATGCCAAGATGGCACAAGCCGCCTCGCTTGCAGGACGCGGAGCAAAATGAACGAGGAGAATCATGTAGATATCTTTGAGTTGTGTTGAACCGCAGTTGGCAGTTTAGCTTGTTGCTATATTGGGAATAGTCAGTCTACGATACCCCCCAGCATGAAGCATTAAGACCATGTTCCATGCATGCTTGCATTTTCTTTCTAATGTTACCCGGTTGTTGGTCTGATTTGACATGGGGATATTAACGTCCATGAGTACCAGAAATGTTGACTGGTGGGAGCACAAGAGACGAAATTAGCAGATCAGCTTATGCTCTTTAGATCAGAGTTTTTATGCGATTTATTTTTTTACCCTAAGGCTTAGGATGTTAACTTTTCTGCCACCCACTAGCTGGTGAAGAAAAGTGACATTAATGTATTGTAACTGCCGTCCCCACATAAGCGAGATCATGGCGATCGATCGTGATGATGTTGTTGAGTGTCTTCATTGAGGTCATAATTATGAACCGTGGAAAAAAATAACAAATCAAATTGTCTCTTTATTGTAAATGAATTGTCGACTTGAGAAGCCAAAGGACGATAATCATCTTTACAACGTCATCAACGTTAAAACCTGCAGCTTTTCTTCAACGTCAAGTTGGGATAGATCGAGAGATCTCGTCTTATCATCACGTGAAGATGGAGATGTCCATGCAAGATACTGCTCCCTGATTGGACTAAAAATATTTGACATTTGATCCGCTCGCTGCAAATGCTCCGGAGACCCATAATCGCAGCGACGGTCAACTTCAGCATCACCACCGTCACGGAACTGCACCACTGCCTTAGCACTATTACTGCCTATCCAAGTCGCAACACGGGCCGGTACTTGTCGCCTGTACATCGCCTATAGCTCTACGTTTCAGAATGGGCACACTGCCTACCAGCTCTTATCACCCTTGATCTATATAGACTCAGGCCTACCTCGAAGTCAGCAAACTGCCTTTTCCATTCAGCCTTTTCTTCAGTCTCCATAACTTTGGGCAGAACGCGCTACGCAACCCATATTGCTTTAAGGCATCACCACCGCGAGCTCCGTACACGAGGTAGAGCAAACGTGTGGCTGTCTTTAAGTTTCAACCGTTATTATCTCTCCGCGACCGGATTCACAAGGCTGCGCCGCGCCTCTTCTCTTGGCTGCGAAATCTCCTTGACTTTGATCCCGCCCTTTGCGATAGCATATTCCACTTTAACTCTTCCACGCGCACACGCGATTCTTCGCTACCTACTTCCTTTAACCTCAGTCACGCACGCCTATCGTGCTTCTTTCCACAAACCCGAGACGGCCGAGCAAAACATCAATCGTTAACCGCTTACCACGAATGACGTTTGCGCAATCTCGTGCGGAATTGTTAATAAATCACAAATTTACTCTCCAGAGTTACCAGCCTTTCGAGGCAATCATTGCGTGAAATCGACAACTACCAAGGCGACAAACTCCTCCGAGAACACCACACCCCCGAACTCAGACCTAATAGGATTGGGCATCGATAATAGCCAATCCACTCACAATCTCACCGCTTCTGAAGAAGCGCCAACCTTCCAGAACCTTTTTCATGTCTGTACCCAACTCTAGGAAACGAGCAGCACCGGGAGCATCGCCTATGGTGCCCATACCGCAGCAAATGCAACCACAATACAACGCAGGAAATGGGGCGGGAAATCAGGGACTGCGATGGAATGGGATGGCCGACCCCTCAAACTACATGAATGGAGTGGACGGGATCATGGACGACAATGGAAACTCGTTTGGTCTCGTTCCGGCACAGCAGCAATATTCTCAGCCCGTGCCGACCCCATCAAACACAATTGCGCGGCGACAAATGAATCATGCGCTTGTTCCGACGAACCAACGAAACTTTGATGGGGCAGTCGAGCCATGGGGAAACTTTGTCGGTGATGAAAACACACTACTTCAAGGAAATTTCGAAAATTTGAACGAGCAGGATAATGTCGAGGTGTTGGAGGAGAGGGCCCAAAAGGCAAAAAGGGAAGCGCAAGCCAAGCGCAAGCAGATCCCCCCGTTTGTGCAGAAACTGAGCAGGTAAGTTTGTGTAGCCGACATTGAAAAAGACACGCTAACCGCCTCAAGTTTCCTAGAGGAGCGCAAAAACGAAGACTTGATCCGATGGTCGGAAAAGGGAGATTCGTTCATCGTGCTTGATGAGGACGAATTTGCCAAGACTTTGATCCCAGAATTGTTCAAGCACAACAATTATGCCTCTTTCGTTCGGCAACTCAACATGTATGGCTTCCACAAACGTGTGGGGCTGTCAGACAATTCTATGCGGGCTAGCGAGCGCAAGAACAAGAGCCCAAGCGAATATTCCAACCCTTATTTCCGACGAGGGCACCCAAATCTTCTATGGCTGATCAATAAGCCTAAGAGTGGGAGCAAAGCTAAGAAGGGCTCAAAAGGTGTCGAGGGGGACAATGATAGCGAAGACGAGGTTGCCAACGAGGAGGTACTTACCTCTGGGCTGCCAACTGCTGCTCAACCCCCTCGATCTTTGCCAGCTGGTGAATCTCAGCCAGTGCCCAAAAAGGAGATGAGCCTTATTCGTGAAGAGTTGGGTAAGGTTAGGGATCAGCAGAAGCTCATCCTCGGCGCAATAAGTCGTCTGCAGCGGAACAACACTGAGCTGTACAACCAGGCCCTCATGTTCCAGAGCCAACACGACCGTCACCAGAATTCTATCAACGCGATTCTCAACTTCCTCGCCAATGTGTTTAGGAAAACACTGGAAGATCAGGGCAATTCGCAGAATGTCAGTGACATCATCTCGATGATCACGAACCAAACCAGCAACCAGCAGTCTACGCAGCACGGTAGCGTGTTTGAGCTGGGCGATTTTATCCAACAGATGAATCCCAACTCATATGGGACACCCAAGAAGACCAGAGGGCTTTTACCGGCTCCTCATCAGAACAATCGTGCCCAGACAGCCAGATCATCTACTACTCCAAGCAGGTCTACGCCTGGCAACACAGCTTATCAGCCCGTCAGTCACCACAACCACAACCCTGAGATGGGTCATGTCACAGAACTTGTCGACAATTCCCCCAGCGACACAGCCTCTCCCAACCTTCGTCAGGAACTTGAGGCAAATCCCGAGGAACGAATGATGAGCCTCATTAACGAACACAATAAACACAACAACAGCCATGGCATGGATATTCCAGACGCAGCAGATTTAGTTGCCAGTGCGCCCAACGCATTGAGCAATGCTCAGCGAAACAAGCTGGTAAACTTTATGGCCGGGCAGTCCTCTGCTGCTCCTTCGGGCAGGTCAACTCCTGTCTCTGCTACACCAGTCCCTACTCCTGCACAGATCCCTACGTCCAGTTCCCACATGGCCATGCCCACTATGTCTACCTCTGCCTCTGTCTCACCACCACCAACCGAATCCGTTCCACCCCCTTCGCTCTCCCCCATCATGGGCCCGCCAATGGCGCCGCCTTCTATCAACGAAATCCACTCCAACTCAATCGACCTGGACCAGCTTCAGCGCCTCCAGAGCGAACAGGACGCTAAGATAAGCGAGCTCGGCAATATGCTAGGACCGTTGAGTCCTTCTGGACATGTCCCCGGCCTGAGTGATGACGCGGGAGCGTACTTCGATCCCCAGTCGACCGATTTCGACCAATTCTTTGACATCAATGCACTGTCGGGCGAACATCAATTTGGCGATGGCAACGATTTTAACTTCACTCTCGACACAGACCCAAGCCATCAAAGCCATCAAAGCCATCAAAGCCATCAAAACCAAGCGTCACTGCACCCAGGACATGTGATGCCACACGCGAGTCACACCAATACACCCAGTCCTGCCGGCACAGAAGAAATACACCGTGAGGATTTACGGTTAGAAAACACCCCCGATCGAGGAATCAAACGGCAACGCGTAGCCTAGCCCTCAGGGTACCAGAAAAGTCGACCACTGGAAGCATAAGGGATGAAAGTTTGTAGGTCACTTTATGCTCCTTAGAGTATAGTTCTTAGACTACTTATTTTTATACCCTAAGACTTATGAAGCTATTTTTTCTGCTACCCACTAGCCTAAGCGTCCGAGCCTGGGTTCTTCCTCGAATGGTATTACAGCTTGTGGCTAGGGCCATGTTACCAGGCCTTTCTTTGTATTTAATAAACTACGTACTATGCATATTCTTTTTTGAAAATATTCTTATGGGTGGGTTGGGTTCGTCACAGATAGCGCATTTCAACGACGTACAATAAGGCAGGCTGGGAAGGGAAAGGGTTATGCTTCAAAGTCAGCGTGTTGGTAGTATTGCTAGGTTATTGCTTTTCAAGAGAGGGCAAGGTTTTTGTTTCCTGAAGAAAAAAGAGTTATAGAAACGCCTGGGTGAAGAACCCAGGAAGCGTTGCAGCGGCTGGATATGGGGACCCAGAAACCAGAACCAGAACCAGAACCAGAAGAACCAGAAAGGGTTGCGTCCGCGCACCTTATGATATGATGTATGCGATTAAGCAAAATCAATAATCCCACTTTGTAATCTGTAGTTGAAGTTGAACAATGTGTGTTGGTGATGAACATATTGTCTTGCCAATTATCAGCCAGAACAACACGAGATTCAGGATACACTATCTTCATCACTGGACCAATCTTAAGTTTCAAGGTCACTTAAACTTCTAGCTTGAATCCGTTATTTGAACACGCACACATTGCCAAATCTTCTTGGGCTTGTTATTTGTTGGAGATGCGAATGGATTCGATTACATTACAATAACTCACCACGGATAGTCCGGAGGAACCGCTTTCTAATCTGCGTACTGGGTAGTTAGTTCAGACCTTTCCCATCAACGATTATCACAATCACCACGTATCTATCAGCTGAGAAGTCCGTTGTTCATCAAGCGGGTCTACAGATTCTGCGACCTTCGGTGAGATGGCCGAGTTGGTTATGGCGCCAGGTTAAGGTTAACCTTAACACCAATTTCCTGGTGGAGCAATCCTCCTGGGTTCGAGTCCCAGTCTCATCAAGTTTATCTTTTTGATTGTCTGTCACATTATCTGTCACGATCTATCATGTACCTTGTTTCTTTTTTAAAGCCCCATGCCACTCAAACCCCAAACACTTAAGAGGTAAGATCCAGCCCTGTTTCAAATCCATGATCCCATTCCCCCTTAAGTAACTGAGTAAACGTTCCTCCATCGTCAAGACGATGGCCATAGAAATAAGCTGCAGGTTCCGTTTGACTCCGACTACCTTTATAGAGCACCCTCACTGTACGTAAGTTCGGGCAAGCTTCGATGACGCTGTCGGTGACATTGCTATACCACTGCTCGAGTTCAGCCTCATCGATTTCATACCACTCTTCTAGAAAGCCTCTATTGTCAAAGAAGCGCTCATATTCGTCAGAAGATTCATCGTGCAAGTCAATGGCTATGGCGAGGGCCTTGAACTCGTCGCTAAAATAGCATGAAGTCATCTCGATGGCAAAATGCTCAACACTGGAACTGTTCAACGCTTCACAGAGCTCATCAACACCCAGGCACTAGTCGAAATAATCAGCAAAGTATACCAGTTAAACTGCATGTTGGTTACTTACAAAGGTCATGTAGCATGTGTCGTCGTCGGCTTCTCCACGGGGTATTCCAGGTGGATGATTCGTATAACGGGGTCCATGAATGCACAGATGCTTGAGACCAGGAAAATTCTTTGCGACCTGTTCTATTCCCTCTGCTTGCTCATTAATCCCATTATATATCTTGTAGGGTTTCCATCTGCGTTCAAAGCGTAACGAGAGCGTCTCAAGTGCCTGTGGCCGAGCTGAATACACAGACTGGAGCTCTAGATACGCAATGATTGTGCATACATCGTTCTCGCACCAGGAACTGAGCGACACACTTTTCAGGACGGCAGGATCGCAATGCTTAAGAGCCGCAACAGCGATTTGCTCTGAACATTCCAGGGAGAGTGTCGTGACCTTTTCCCATCGATGGGTGATTTCGGTCAAAAAAAACTAGCGAATTGGGCACTATGCATAGGTCGAAGTTCGTATGGATCAACCTTTAGCTTAATCTCGTTGACGTCGGCCACCTTCGAGAGACTGCGAAATAGGAGCTTAGTGGAGTTGGCATATGATATGCGAGACCCCCAACATTCTAGGCAAATAGTCGCCTTTCTATACAAGCGGGTTAGTAATATCAATCTTAATAAGAATAACTTATAAGGTCTTACTCGATGAGCGTGTGCTTTATATTATACTTCTCGTCTAGAAATAATTTGAAGGTAGGATTGAGATGCCCATATGGTTAGAATAGCTAGAATCGTTCATATAGTTACAAAGCGCAACTGTTCTCCAGTCGCTTGGAGAGACACGCATAGAACTTTCTGCAGGGCAATTTAAGATTTGAACGATCCTGCTTGGTGAGATAAGAGCCGATCATGCAGCGTAGCTCCGTTGGGATATTGTCCATAGGTGTGACCGAAGAAAGGCACTCCTGTGGAGTTTTATCCATGGTCACGACCAAAGAAAAGAACGTCGAGAATACCCCCCAGAAGAATGAATGAAGGCGAAGAGGTCTCTAAGCCTATTGGCGGACCGTCTGCCAGTCGCGGTTACCCGATGGATGGAAGAGAAAAGACGTCACAATGTGAGTGTGTGGTAGTGATGTGGAAAAGTGGAAAAGATTCTCTTGAAGAGAGCGGAGGAGAAGGAATTTATAGGTAAACGTATGCCAAATAATTCAAACAGCACTCAAGCTTCGTGAATCAGTCTCTATTGAGATCTATTGTTTTATTTTGCGAGGTGGAACCATCTGTTTGATAGTAAATCACCGCAGAATGGATAGAGGCTTCATTCGACAGTGCATGCCGGTAGCAGAGCAGTTTAAGATAATAGCATACATATATTTATTGGCGTACTCATGCTCACAAATTGTTGCTGGTCAATACAGACAGGGCAGATAGATAGATGGTGCTTGCAAGTGATGTCCAGTTGCTCAAACGCTGGTATTCCATACCTATTTACTTGAACCTACAAAAGTAGGAGGCATATTCAACAATGGTCTAGGCTTTGAACTGGAACATGCGATACTTTTAATAAACTCACTGAGATCACAGAACATCCTGAAAACAGAGGATTGGAAAAAATACAATTTTGATTCCTACACAAATCAACTTTGGACCCCTTATCCTTTCTTACCAAAAACTCCCTCCCACATTCCTTCATACTCAATGAGACCCTTGCCAGTCAATATAAACAGGCTCCTCTCCGTGGAAACGTTAGGGGATTTCATCATCTTGGTTAGCAACATAGATCATGTCATCCCGTCCAGTGTCTCCAATACCATCAAGCAGCTTCATGATCTCCCTCTGTGAGCAAGCGCTGAGGTTTCGAATCCCAGACACTAGATACATACCGTCCCTGAACTCTCGATTGAGGAGATAAGCTGGCTGTTTGAGATGGTACTGAGGGAATCTGAATGCGCCATACCCTCTCAGTCCATCGTAGATGATGGGATAGAGATGCTCCCATCCCTTGAGAGCATCTCTAGCAAAACGAGACTGCAAAGTCTCCTTGAACCATCCGAATACAGTACGCCGAGCTTCATCACGTTCTTCTTCAATGTCTATGATACGAAAGCAAGCAGCAAGAGGACCTTCGTAGTCGCGGCAAGGGGGAGGAGTCCAAGTACCTTCAAGAATCCGACTCGTTTTCATCCGCTCCTGGATGGTCTCGGCGTCGACAGGATCCTCATCTCCGGGCATGAAAAGACGCATCTCTTCAAGTGTATACATTGGCGAGTCGTACGAAGATACACTGGCAGGCGAGTCTGGGATGGGAACGGGCGAGTACTCGGCCGGATCCATAGCCTCATCTAGCGGGAAAGACGAGCTACCTAGTGTCCACTTACCATCACTTGCGCCGGTACATAGGGAGATCCTGTTTAACTGGTTAGCACGTTTCTTTGGAATAAGCTCATACTTCCATCTTTCAAGGTCCCTGATGTTGAGGTGGCAGACGTATCGCTCTGCTTCCATGTCGCTGCTCAGAGGCATGCAGATCCTGAACACAGGAGGTGAGATATGTCTGGTTCGAAAGGAATGCATTTTGATAAAAGCAATAGTCGACCTTTTTTCTTTCTTTTGAGTGATTCGATTTGCTGAATAGTTGTTTGAAACTTTCGTCGATGTTGATCGTCGAGGCCGGCTTGACGATATTGGTGAAGAAACTTAGAACTTGTCAGCAAATACAAATCTGTGATTGATGAGTGGGTGAGGCGAATATTGACAGGTGGAAGCGATTTTAAATATTTAATATATATCGCAACTGTAGCATTTAGCTTGCAAGATAATGCCTTTTGTTCTAAGAACATAAGAAAACAATGTCATGTTCATCCGCCAAAGGCTGAACATACAACATTGTTACTTAGACAACAAATTATGGCTGAAAATACAATGCCTCGCTTTAGCCAGTCCAGTACAACAAACAACGAACACAAGAAAAAGGGTATGTTGACAAGCTGAACAGATGTAAGCTTGGTGTTGAAGGACAGGTCTCAACAGGTTGTGCCAAAAGGATTGTGGGAGACGTGAAAACAGGCGAAGCCAATACCCAATACAAATGCTGTATTACTAGCGACCAAGGCCATTCTCCCCAGGCGCTTAACCTGGAAAATACTCCTCAGTAAGTCTGCCTTATCTACCTACTCATAGATGTACGAGCTAATATAAACAGGGAAAAGCTAGTCTTGGTTATCGAGGAGTTTCTCCAAGAGACGATTCCCATTTACAAAGATCGTCTTCCGCAAAAGATGGAAGATTTCGACACTACGCAATACGCCTACATCGGGACAAAGAGGAGGACTGCCATTGTGGTCACAAGACTCAGTGGGCAGAGGGTCTACTTTTACCATCTATTGAACAACAAGGACAGACTTTGGACCGCCGGTCTCCTGGCCAAGGATATTTACGACCAGATCTTCTTCTATTCCGAATTTGCTCGATAGGCACCCAAAGGCCTTAACGACAAGAGGAAGCGATGGATTGAATTGAAAAACAACGATAAAGAGAAAGTAAAGGAGCTCTCCGAGTCTCGAGTCCGGGAGTAATGATGAGATAGTTTAGGGTCCGGCAGGGAAAGAACACAGGGGATTTCCCATGGCTCCAATGATATTGACTGGGTAGGTTAGCAAGTTAATCCAGGAAGAACAGAAAGAGGACCTTTGAATAATACATCCAAGCTGGAAGTTTAAGTGACCTTGGGACTTGATGCTGGAAATAAATAATAATCTGGTGTTATCTTTGTGTTGCTATAGTTGATGATTGGCTACAGTTTTAGAGTGGACAACCCCCGAGTACTGCTCTGGTTCGTTGCCCTATATTCTCTCAATACTAACTATATTCTTCGAAGAACTCTCATATACTCTCATATCCTCTCTCAATCTTGTTATCATGACATCACGCCCAGCGTTCATCATCAAGACCATCCTTCCATCACCCGTCTGGGCACTCTTGGCGATTGCTCCACGCTACAGCGTCCAATGCATGAAGCCCCGTAAAACCCCTGGCTATCGCCTGGGGAATGCGCGCTAGGCCCACTATCAACCTGCGCGAAATAAGAGAAAACGGGAATGGAAGAAAAAAGTCGAGCTTGTGGTTGGTTCCATGGCATTTCCGCCCGGCCCGATCGGTCTTCTCCTGGCTCTGGTCTTGGGGCTGGACTCGGAATGAACTGGGATATAGCATTGGCATTCAAATCTCCCGTCTTCCAGCTTTTCTTGATTTCTCTTTTCATTTTTTCTTCTTTTTTTCTGTTCAACCTCTTTTTCTACATCGTTGTCGCCCTTGTTCTCCGTCGGCGATCCTTTGTGTATCTCGTAAGAAAGAGCTCTTTCGTTTTTGTATAAAGGAATCAACATCACCGAGGGAACAATCAGCAAAACAAAACAATGCGCGCTTCCAAGATCTTGGCCTCCATGGGCCTTATGACCCTCGCCAATGCGACTGTCATTCGCTACGAGCGCGATCTTCAAGTTGATGCTCCCGTTCTCGAGAAGCGAGCAGACAAGACCGCCGCCTGGGTCACCGTCGATGACGAGCAGCAGCCCGCCACGACATACACTCCCTCGTACACTACCATCGACGGTACCACGTCCATCGTCGACGCTGCTCCTCACGACCTCACCGCCACCGTCTACACATACACCAGCTGGGGCAAGGCTTACACCAGCACTGGCGAGCCCCCCAATCCTCAGGCCACTGGCAAGCACGGCGAGGGTGTCTTTTCGCGATGCCACAACAAGGATGGCGAAAATGCTCCTTTCTGCTCTCCCTACGCCAACAGCACTCTTGATGCTGGCAAGACATACTTCGGTGAGTTGTCAGAGCCATGGGCGCATCAATTCATGTCCAATTGCTAACTACTTATGTTACAGTGACTTGGGATCCTGATTACTTCAACAAGACCAAGTCCTCTGACAACTCCACCCTCATGATCACTCCCCGTCTCAACTTCTTCAACGGCTCTAGCAAGGAGTGGGAGAAGTACCAGGACTTCTCTGACTCCGCCGTCCCCGCTGCTTGGGGCTACTGGCCTTTCCATGCCAAGTCGGACTACATGAAGAAGTCGCACAACATCTCCCTCACGCTCTACAGCAACAGCAACAACTCGCTTGAGAAGACAGAGTCCACGACCCTGTTCCTCTACCTCCAGGACATGGACTTCCCTGAGAAGGCGCATGAGAAGCTCCCCGAGGGTCAGACTCTTATTATCGCCCTGCCCGTTGTCTTCGGCTGCCTCCTTCTTCTCATCATCGGTGGCTTCCTGTGGAACCGCAAGACCCGTCGCATCGGGCTCGGTAACGTCTCTGGTCGTGCCCGCCATGGCTACACCGGTCGTGCCAAGCGCCGCATCTTTGGTGCCCGTGACAACGGCATCCAGCTCGATACTTCCGTCCCTCCTCCTGGGGAGTACCGCGACGCTCCTCGGCGTGCTCGTGCCGACAGCGATGGTCTCGGCAGCTTGGCAGGTAGCCCTGTCGATGCCAACTTCCCCCACCAGGGCAACAGCGGCAATACTTTCCGTGATGAGATGAGGAGACAGGAGGCCGAGAGACGTATGTAAAGAAAAGAGGCGGCCTCGCCTAGTTTAGGATATGTAATTGGTGGCGATATCTGCATTGCCAAATACTTTGTTTTACGTATATATGGAAACTAGCGATGCGTGCTAGCATGCATCAACATGGAGGAGCAAGTGTGACGATTTTGACACGACGCATAACGAGAAATTAATACAAACGCCTTGTCTATCAGAGTAAGATTAAGGTGACCGGCCTCTGGTTTAAGCGCAAGAGGCAAAAAGTGAACGCCTTCCGAATCAGTTCCCCAATCCCAAGTACGAAAGTGAGCTGCCAAAATGGTTCCATACGCCGGGCATCGTGGGTATCCCGAAGCCATCCTTTGCAAAGTTCCCCTTTCACAGCAGTTCGTAAAATGTTCCAACGACCAAGACGCCCCCAAAAAACAAAAATCAGTAGCAACTCTCTGTAGGTATGTGGTGAAAAGACCAAATCCTTCTGCGCCATTCTACGCCTTGACCCGCTTAGTATTCTCAGCTTTCTGCCCTTCGTCATCGAGACGTCTTTTCATATTCGCAGATGGCGGTGTTGTTGGTGGCGTGGCCGGTGGTGTGTCTTTCGACAGTAATTCGAAACCCGAACAAAGGTCAAGCTGAGCCTCTCCATCCTTCAAGGGCCGCATTAAATCCGCAGGAATCATTGTGGCAAGCTTACACTTGACTTCACATTCCTGGTATGTTTCGGTAGTCCAACCATTATCCGCATAGTTTTTGGCCTCAGCGATGCTGTATCCAGTGCTGAATCCTTCATGATATGCGTCCGGCAGAATCACTATGGTCTCACCAGGACGTTGGTCGATGATGCGGAAGGGTATGCCCAACTTTTCAAGCTTTTGAGGAAAGAAGAACTCAGCTCGATGTCGCATGAACTGGGAACATTTGCCCTTTCGACCAAGAGCCTCTTCAGCAACGTCGACAGCTGTAGAAGGGACCACAATCCAAATCTTTCGGCCTTTGTACAGGTGGTTTAGTGAGACGAGTCTGAAGTCCTCAGCGTGTATCTGAAAGCTTGCACCGAAATAAGGCCCTGATTCGTATACATAAGGTGTGTGGATTCCCGGGATGATGGCCTTGGTCTTGTCGAGCTTGTCACCTTTCAAAGGGTATATTGGGCTCTGTTCAGGAACACCAGCTTCGCGTCGCTGTTCGGGGGTCCACGCAGGGACATCCGCTCGATAGCGCACATTGCGGATTTGTTTGCGATCATTCTTCCGGTACAACTTTCTCAGCTGATCGATGGCCTGGATGGCAGAAACCTTGCATTGGGGACCGGTGACTGATGAGTTAAAGCTGCCTACAGAGGAGACAGTCTCAACTCGCCAGAAGCTGTTCTTCTTAATTTGGGTGGGTCGGTATGCGTTTGCAGGAACCTTTTGGGAGTCCTTTTCTGGCAGGTCCTCGACAAGTTCTTCTGGGAGGACGATTTTGAAGCAGCCATGGTTTTCGGCTTGGAGACTCCGGGCAAAAGCAAGGTTAGCTGAAAAATCGCTCCACTGTTGAACAGTTGGTTTAAGTCGCAAAACTTCATGGCCTTCGGGGCCGTCCCAGTCAAAATCGATTGGACCAAGTTCAGTTGGAAGTTCAGCAGGAAGTTCGCAAAGCTCCGACGGCAGGTCACTTAGAATTGAACTGGCATCATCTTGGTCACGTTCGGGAGGTGGCGAAGGCTCATTTGCTGGGGCTAGAGATGGTTGAATCCTATTGAAATCTGGCAGTGAAGAAGGTTGTTCAGTGATTGGTAGCTGCTGCGGGCATGGCGCTGGTTCCATGACGTTTAGTGAATTGGCGGGGATTGGACCCTGCTCGTAGGCAATCTGAGGAGCGGAAATAGGCGCAGGCGCAGGCGCAGACGGTTGACGGTGCGGAGAAGAATGTTGAAATTGAAGATGAGGAGTCGCAAACTCATGCGACGGATGTTGAATCTCCATTGAAGCGAGGGGAGGGCCCGTCTCGCGATTGCGACAGACAGAAGAACAGTTGATGTGGTTGATAGTGGAGAGTGAGGGTGAGAGCAAAAGTTGGCGACGAGTGAGAGGTGAGCGTAATCGCCACCCTGGTTCAGTCAGTTGGTCGGTACCTGATTCACAATCTAGGTACTGAGTAAAAGGCCAGTGAGTGCGCCTCGATTGTAAAATATTCGGATAAGCCTAGAAAAGAGAGACACAGATTCCAAATGTTGAGCGTCTTTCAATAGAGACTGCGATGGCTGTATTGTCTGTGCGAGATGAGATCTGAGGTAAGAGAGCAAGTGAAGAGAATCCAAAAGAATTGATTTGGTGCTGTAGAAAAGGTCCTGAGAAGCGGAAAGACAAGAGTTTAAAAAGTGCTAGTCCAAACGTGCAGTAGTAAGGGAAGAGGAATCGATGGTCATGACTAGAGCTTCGTGAAGGGGCCACTTCTAACAAAGCCACTGCCCACCACCAAAAAGTGTGTTTCTTTCCCTTTGTCTCTTAAGTTTTCGCTGAAAGAAAGCGAGCCATAGCGGGAGAGCACCTACCCGCACTGCACTCTGTTGTGGGATACAAAAAAAAGACAGAAGGGATGGAAAGCAACCCACCTAAAAGACCAAAAGTGGACCGAGCGGGGAGTCCAGCGATTGGTTCAAAAAAAAAAAAGAATCAAAGCTTGGATTCTAGCGGCAAACCACCTGCAAGGTCCATGATTAGCGCGGGGAAAACCGAGTTTTAGGGACAAGAAGACGACATACAATAGAATGGAAATGGTTACTTGCGTCACGGTTCCCGAGTGAACAAAGACGAGAGTATAAAAAAGACAAAGATTTACCTTTGATAACCGAGAGATAAAAACAGCCATGCGGTGAAATTCACAATCAGTAAATGTGTGGTGATAACGAATGGAAGGTTTACGTGGGAGACCAGAATGACCCGAACAGCCACTTCAACTGCGTGATCAAGAAACTAATTCATTTATTGAATGCCTAATAATTTCAATAGACTTAGGCCAGTCTGTATTGGATAATTATTCATTTTGCAACCTATTTTAAGACAAGGAAGTGATCTTGAAGCCATAAAAGGATAAGCGCATGATCGGCACGCTAAGGCCCGTCCATCTCTTCTTTACTTGCGCTTGCAACGTTGAAGGACAAAGGCGACAGGGATCTTTATCAATCAGTTCCATAACCTTGGTTCAAATTTATATTAAGCACAAGAGTTTGGGGAAACCTTTGACCTGCGCCTAAAAGGAATTCGACGGCATTGTCGTAGCATTCCTAAGCTTGGTTAGATAATTTATAGTACATACACTAAGAGAGTATTGCTTTGTCACTGCCATTGCCCGTCCTGATACATAGCCTGTCTTTAAACTAGGAATGATTTCTTTGAGCATCTGGTGAGAATAATGTCTTTGCTGACGAGTTGTCAAGTGATGATTGAGAATATCTGCTTTGAGCATTGCACCCTCCCCGCCCACTCCTAGTCTTCCATCTGTCTTGATTGTAACAATGAATTATTGCCTGTAATGACAACCCCAAAGAATTTGGCCACATTGAACATAAGTGACGAAATTGTGTGATCAACATATGCAATCTTAATGAGCTTTTGAGCCACTGTTTATGTAGTACGTCATAATACTGAGTTTAGAGTTTCTGATGCGCCTGCCTCTTTCTTTCCTTCTGCCTCATTTCCCTAAAGAGATATAGCAGTCCATCAAAGAAGCCAACAAGTCAGACACTCCATTAATATCGTTTCCCGAATCTTGACACAATTAAAGTGCTCCAATCCTAACAAAAAATAACCACTTCCCGATAAACAGGTACGTAACTTGTCACACAGCAATTACTTAGCTATATGCACAACAGCCGTTTCTCCCTCTTCGGAACCTTAAACAATCCGAAGCAACAAGCATACTCACCAATCGATCTTTACGACTATCTGCCAATAACTCGATCAGATGAGAGGCTAAAACTTAATCGTCTGATATACTAAGGTGATTCGGTCTGTCAATTGACCCCTGATCCTCTTCGCTTTATATCGCCAGTTGCTTTCGTAATCTCGTGCAACACGATGTGCTTACTCGGCGATAGCGTCGGGTCGTATCAGGGTCATCATGGAGCTTCCAAATCCAGTTGCTAAGGTGTTTGTGTGCTTGTTCGCGGAAGGAAGTAAGGCATATAAAAAGCCAGTTTGGGTCCTCAAACTCGAAGAATTGTTTGTGATATTAGATAGTATTGTATCTTCCATGTTCCTTAATTCGGCATGGAAGCTGGCCAGCTGTATAACTCCATTTGACCTTCCAGCCGAATCTGGAGTCGTTAATCTTCAACCCAAGACGTCTTATTAATGCGCGATGAGCCTCTGTAATGGTAACAGAACCCAATCTTATTATTTTAGTGATATTCAGGATGGGGTTCTAAGATATATCTAAGAATAATCATTAGAGTGGTTCTCAGGACAATATGTAGGACAAATCATGAGTTTTAGGTATTTCATATTGACCTACAGGTCGTTTTGTCTATCGTTTACTAAATGGAGAAGAGAAGCGCTTGCTTTTACAATGCCGGCCACAAGACCTGACATCCTATAATACATCCCAGTATACTCAGTCCTATCTGATACTGGACTGGGCTATCACGACCTTCGGCTGTCGAAGATTTCTCTCGCAAACCCCCTACCAAACCTCCCCCACTTTGCCAGCATAAGAGGTATCTTCCTCCAGCCCCCTCTGACAAGCCACCAACTAGCTACACCACCAGCTATCAGTCCCGTCAGACTGATGAGCAACATATCCCAGTTCCTAGCCTTCCATATCGGCATGCGCATATCCGCTGTCTGCAGATGCATAGGGCGCAGCTCAACGCCGTTGCGGAACCGGAGTTCTTGATCTACCATGACTTCCTCAATGAGGTCAGCTGCGAGGTGTTTCCGCTTGGAATTGAGGATTGCTATGCGTTGCATGCGGCGGGCGTTAGTGGTGAACGATCCATCCTTGTCAGACGTGATGTTTTTGATGGCCGATGCGATAGAGGACGGTGTTAGATAAGATTTGTCAAGAGACGTTCCGACGCCCGATGCTGCGAGACGAGCGCTGTTACAGAGCTGATCGAAGAAGTAGCCCACTGCAAGGACTGGTGTACCGTGGAAGAGAGTCTCGTTGGCACTTGAACCACCACCGTGGGTGAGAAATAATACAGTGTTGGGATGTGCCAAGACGGCTCTTTGGGGTGCGAACACCGGAAGGCGGAAGTGTGGGTGGGTATCATTGAGAAGACCTTCGACGCTGATGATTGAACCATCAGCTAGAGGATAAGTCTTGGAAATGTCAAAGTTGGTACGCGGTTTCTGGGGAACAGCCCATATGACACCGTTGATAGACCCAGCGTCTAGAGCCTGGATAAATCCGAGGAGATACTTTGTTAACTCCTCTGCTGGGAGGTTGACGTGAGTTCCCAAGCATACATATATCGTCTTGTCGTGGCTATCGAGGAACTGAGCTAGGTCTTCATCTAGGGGAGGATACTCGTCACTCAGGATAGGACCAACGGGTGTCATGAGAGGCGGCAATTCTTTAGGCGCTTCCAGGCCCCAGAAAGAATTGACCAGAACGAGGTAATCAGGCTTGGGGAGAAGTGAATGGCTGTAGTTGACGCCTGCATCAACACGCATACGCTTTGTCCATATTAACCAAGGGATGACCGTTGGTAGTGCTGCCAACACCACAAATTCGTTCCAGAACCGCGAGGTCAAAGATGCATGCTCAGAAGTCAATACCCCATCGGCCTGGAACCCAGGTTGGCCCGGTTGATAACTCACAGGCGCCATAGCATATGGCATCTGGGGCCAGACGCTTGCGAGCTGGATGTTGAACTGCCTGAGCATATCCCTCGCCGCACTATCAGCAAAGAAGTCCGCGACGATAAAGTCGGGCTTCGTAGAGGGATCCTGACAAAGAGCGCGCAGACTCCTGTAAGTCTCTGTCCAGAAATTGTCAAAGAAGTACTTTGACTTCATCATGGGAGCAAAGCCGTGCTCATGGCGCCATAGACGCAGCCTCTCGTAGTGAAGATCCAGGTCATCTTCCGTAGCAGCCGGACCGACGATATAAGTAGTTTTTATAAAGGGATAATCAGAAGTCCATTCCTCCTGGCCAGCACATGTAGCAAATTGGATCTCGTGGCCACGAGAAGCGAGAACAGCGCCTATTTCAAGGACTGGGGCTATGTTGTTGTTAGTTCTATTGGATAATGGCCTTCAATTGTGTGGGGGGATTTACAGTACCTGCATGAGTGAAACCTCCCGTTGTGACGAGGAGAAGGATCCTCCTGCAAAACTCATGGGGGTTGTCAGCCATTGTTTTAGGTATCACTTAGGCTGGATAGTTTAAATTGGAATGTGTGTGTTAGGATTGTGATGGGTTGGTCGTGTATTGATTGGCATGTATGACGCCTACTGCAAAAGTCCCGTTGCATTGGGAATACCAGTGGAGTCAAGCTTAGTTCCGGTGCAGTGGGACGAGGTAAATCTTAGACAAGATATCCTAAGTCTTTAGGATGGCCCTAGTCTTGATGAAATGTTGGCCTTTGTTGTCATACAACTAACTAACTGTACTCAAGACCAGGATTTATGAAGAAACCATTATAATAAGCATAGACAATTGATAACATTCCATTTCTCGTCTATCTCTATTATCATTGTCCATCGTGTAGTGTAGTCTTGTCAGAACTGGACCATGTCCCTTCTAACTTGCTTTAGTCAATGCCAAAGCCCTATTGAATCCTTCCTTGATGTCCGACGCACTTATATACTGAATTTCAGGATCGTGCTGCCTCCATGCGTTATCAATAATATTCCCAACGCCATTCCTATGCATTCCCACGTGCAACATTACCCAACTGTATGTTCCTTTCTTCTCTTCAACCCACTTAATCGTCGAGATACGTTCAACGCAATCCCGGTATTATTGACCAATCCAAGACAAAACATTAGGACAGCAAAGAGCTCATCCAGTGTCAAAACTGGCGTTCAGGGGTATAAAGCGCATTCCGGGTTGTAAAGTTTATAAAAGTCCGGAGTCTCAGAAATGAAGTGATTACGAAAAGTCATCAGGTCGTCCGGGTCTGGCCATGTCGTCTGCTTGTTGGATAAGATCCTTGGTCTCGCGTGCCAGACCGAATGCAATGGGTGGTAATGTCTGCACCCACATACGCCACTCGTGTGCGTTGGTCGCCACGCCCATGTTGGACATGTCTTGACCCTGATCAGCAGACTCTAGTAGGCGTTCTCGACATTGAGCCAACTGGGCTGCTGATTCGCCAAGGCCGCATGCTTGCGATTCCGCAATGATATCGCTGACAATACCGTTGATGGAACCAATGTCTTCGGAAATCCGGCGCATGTCGGCATCTCCGCGGACGGTGTTTACAAGTCTCTGGATTTCGGCTGATAGGATGGAATTCTGTTCCTCGAGAAAGAGCTGTTGAAATTGTCAGTGTTGCTGTTACTGACGCCGTCATGTGTGAAGATCACTGACCTTGAGATCTTCGGCGGCTCGGGGATCCAGCTGCGGAGCAACTCGTCCATTGGATTGGTTGTTTGCAATAGGTTGCCCGAGGCCGATTGGTACCGCACTGGCTTTAGACATGGATCTTTGGTGAGAGTATGGCTCAGCGGACTGGCGAGGTGAGCCCAGAGGGCTATATGCCGATGAGTCAATACTAGTTCGCATACCACTCAGACCTTGAAAGGGAGCGGGAGGCGGCAGTCTGTCCTGGATACTGACAGGATGCTCAGTAGCAACCGGTGAAAAGAGAGCGCTGGAATCCGCAGGCGTTACGGTTCCATCGTCATCGTCCAGCTCCTCGGCAGGGGTCGTTCGAATCTTGACCAGACGGAGCAGATCAACAATGGCAGCGGCCAAGTGCGATGCTGCGGTATCGAGCAAAGAAACTGGGGACATCCCAGCGCTGGACGCGAAGTTCTTGGAGGCCGTGATAAAGTTGTTTGCGGTCAAGGACACCTTGGACCTCAACTTGGTCTGCTGTTGGAGAAACTCCTCATCATCGGTCTGGGGCACCTGAATATCCTTGGTAATGCGGCGCACGCTAACGACGACGAGTTTCATAGCGTCAACGACCTTTTCAGGATCCTCAGTTCGAGCCTTTTGCAGAAGCTCATCAATCGCGATTTGGAATTTGGTGACATGAACATCTTTGACCATGCCACGCTCGTCCACGAAGCCCTGCTCGCGGACGTGCTTGGCCGCGTCGTGTTCAATACCAGGACCAGCAGAGGTTGCCCGCATGTGTCGTAGCTGAGTCTTGACTCCAGCGTAACGGTTCTTCCATTCGTGAACCTCGCGCTCAAGCCTCTCAATCTTCTTCTCAAGCTCTGCGTGTCGCTCGTGTGTCGTGCCGCTTTGCTGAGAAAGCTCTCGCATCTCGAGCAAGAACTCCTGTGCCTCTTTTCTAACCTCGTCCGTGACCTGCTGTTGTTCTCGGAGTTCCTGTCGAAGCTCATCATTTTCCCGCTGAAGTTCAGAGTCTGATGCGCCATGCCCAACACTTCGTTCTGTTTGATGTGCTGCATCCATATCGTCTCTGAGTCTCTGAATCTCTGTTTCGTGATCATCTCGTACGCGCTGCAATTCTTGCTTCATCGAGTCGTTCAGGTTCTGCGCCTCAGCCAGTTTGTTCTCAAGGTTGAGTCGTAAATCGCTCCACTCTTGCTTCTCAAGGTTGGTAGCAGCAGCTCGTGAACGTTCTTGGTCCAAAGCGCCGTTCATCTCATCCTTCTCCTTCTTCCAAGCATCTTCCATGCTCTCAAGTTTCTCCTGTAGTTCTCGTACCTGGTTCTGGGAATCCTCCAATGCTTTTCTATCGGCCTATATCGTGTTAGTATCTGCTTTTGCGTAAAACCGGAGTAATTCTTTACCTCTGACATTACACCGCTGCCGACACTCCTCTTGCTCTCGCGATTGGGGTCCTGGTCTGCGTATCCTTCACCTTCGTCGTCTTCCTCAAGCATAATGCTTTTGTTGGGAACGATTGTATTATTCTGGTTGAGCTGTTTCGGTGTAGGACGTCCGTAATCGCCATTCTGGCCACCTGGAGAGGCTGGCATTCCGTAACCATCTCCAGGTCCTCTCATAGACTGGGCATCAGAAGGTCTCCTCATACGGCTCTGAGCTCTTGGGGGGAAGTTGCCGTTGATCGGAGTGCCTGGTCCTCTCATGGACATGGGACTTCCTGTACGAGCAAGGTCGGCTCCCACGAAGCGAGGGAATCTACGTTCAAGTTCGTGATATACATCGGCAGCCAGGTCTCGGAATCGTGGAGGGCCAAGGGAAGATAGTCTTTGACGAGCCTGGTTTCGCTTGGGGTGGAAGTTATTCTCGGGCATCAGGAACGAAGGAGGGCCATTTGGTGCATTCGGAGGCGCCCTAGCAGCGGCCTGTCGTCTTATCAATTCGTCAAAAACATCGGTACTAAGCTCATAAAATTGAACTGAGGAAAGGCGCAGAAGCTTGTCGCGAGCTTTGTTCGGTTGTTGTTTGTGATTGGGATCGCGGGTGTTAAGAAAGATGCGCAGAGCGACGTAGTGCTCACTGAGAACGGCCTCGTCGAGGTCGCCGCGGACACTGTTACGGCCTTCGCTGCGAGCATAGAGCTGGGTGCCGTTACTTGATCGCGCAATTGAAGCAGGCGGCGATGGTCCTCCAGTGCTTCTAGGACCTGGGCCAGGGCCTTGGCCTGGTCCTGGACCCGGGCCGCCCATAGGAGGGTTTGGAAAACCGTTCATGCTCATGGCGCCGTTGGAGCCGCCCGAATTCGGGGGCGATGCAAGATTGGAGCGACCGTTGGGATTGGGAAAGGGGCCGTCGTCAGGTTGGTACTTGGAAACAGAGTAGTCGCTACCGCCTATAGAGATTGGGGACAACGGCGCATTGCGTCCCAAACTGATGCTCATGATCAAGAAGAAGAAGAAGAAGAAGAAGAAACAAAAAAATGCGAAACCGAAATGATGCTGGAGGGAGATGGAACTGGAACAGCGCCAGCCGCCTGTCTCATATGGGCGCCACACGGAGACGGGGTCGAGAAATGAATGCAGCCAGCCCGGGTAGGTATACAGTACAGTAGGCTCGGAGTTGACAATAAATCAAGTCCAACAGGAACAGGCCCCAAGGATCCTTTCCCCCACAGGATTAGGATTGGCGTCTTTCAGGGGCGGTAGAAGCGCCAAGCTCCAGCGTGTGGCCGAAAACGACAAAAGTGGATGATTTGGGTGTGGCTCAATGGTTGAAAGGAATGTTGATGATGATGATAATGGATGGTGGTGATTGAGAAAAAAACAGTATCAATGGGAGTGATGTAAGAAGATACGGTGAGGTTTAAAAGAATTGTCCAGTAACAGTTACAGGGAAAGACGTTGCGGGTCGGCCTCAGCTTGTGCTGTTCCTTCTTCCTGGTCGGTGACTTGCAAGGTGAAGGAAAGTAAACAAGGGAGGGAGAGAAGGGAAGATGATCAACCATAGATAGGTAAATCGAGAAAGTAATTGGATTGGGCTATCGAACCCAGATCAACTGAATCGCATTCAAAGTAACATCAATTCTAGTGATCCAAAAGGGGGTTCAAGTTGGATTTAGACTGAATCGGGGTGCATATCCCCTGAACTGAAGTTTACTAAACTCCACTGACACCATCGCAACGCAACGGAACTTGACTGCTTCCAGAAAATAGCGTGCGTACTGTGCAGATTGCCCCAAGGCGAACCAAGTGGGTTGCTCTGGGCAGATGCAGCACGAGCACCGAGATCTCCATTGATGGACGGGAAATGAGCCCTTGTCCGGGTCATTGTCTTCTGGGGTGAGAGTCCAGAATGTCTCGGTATGGAGATGGGCCACGTCTCCCCCCCTGGTCTTGCAATTTATTAATATCGTTGATGAAGGAGTTATTAATTTCTCGAGTCCACCGAGATCGAACAAACCTGCAAGGTACAGACGGGGTAACGTTATCTCGTCAGGAAGGCTTTATCGTGGATGTAGTTACCACCATCACTCCATCATTAATGTATCGAATTAGCTTCTTGCATCTACCGCGCACCAGAACTTGAAAGATCAAATGATATGATCCATGCAAGGGGAACGGGAAATAAGCACTTCTGTTCAACCAATCTCGATGCAATTCAGGGCCTAGGCTTGAACACCTTATTCAAGCCTCCGCTCCACTGATTGCACTGTGCCTGTGCTGGAACCTCTAGCCCCAGGGCTGTCGCCTACCCCTGAAAACCAGTGAAGCACCGCTTACTCCTCGGCTCTAATTCGTCTGATGATCCTCGTCAGGCGTTCGAAGCTTAGCGGGTTGCCGAGCGAGCTGGGATACGCGGGTCTTAAAGCTAGGCCGGCACGTGCTTTGATATCACAGCCACCCGGGTCTTGTAACCCGGAATGACACTAATTAAGATGACATGAACTACAGAGTACGGATGAAGAATTTATTACGGAGTATCCGTATGCTATAGTTTATCATAAGAGGCCTCAATTGTTAATGGTATCGTGGGGTACGGAATACATTGGTAAAAATAAATAAAAACTACAGCATGCCTGGCTATCGACATTAAAGGACCCTCGCTTATATGACCAAGAAATATTCGCCTGAACCCTGGAAAAGATGGTCTAAAGATCATCGGTGGAAGCTTACATTTACATACCTCTATATCCTCTATCTCTAGGTAAGCTTTAGGCCATGAGTACTATGGGAATCACTTATGATTTAGTCTAAACATCATAAGTTAACTTACCAATTTCGTCTCTTATGCTATTATAATTCAAATAGTCCACTGGCCCAGCACCAGTCTTATTAACAGCCTCAAACGTTCCAAACTGATATTCCTCGTATTTTCCCCGTCCTTATTCCTACCCACTAGGCGCCAAGAAACCTTAACCAGGCCTCCATGTCAGAAGCAAGCTTGTTTCCAATTTCAGCATCAATAACACCTTCCTGCCAACTGATATCAACACAAAGCTCTTTCCCTTTCACGCTCATGGAGCTGATATGAAAGACGGGAGAGGTAATCTCGCAGCTAAGCTGAAACACTGCTCTTTCGATCTTCCAGCCTGACCCTGACCCTGATCCTTCAACCTCTCCATCCATCGTGCCTAGGTTGGACACGCCCCAAGCACCGACTCGTGGCTTCTTGAGTTGCTGTTTCTTCTGTATGCGCCAGTCTTTCACGAGGCCCATCAAGCCTAGAGGATCGTTGTTCATGCCCTGGTCCACCTTGTGCTGGATATCCTTTCGAGCTTGAGCCGCGGCGGACCAGACGATATCCTCAAGCTTTGTCATGACATCTTCATCTGAAGATACGCCTTGAGCTCTGGTACGAAGCTCTGATATCATATTCTCATCAAACATGTGGTCGCAAAGCGCCATCTGATTATCCATAGTTGTGCTAGGAACATGCCAAGGATAAGCGTCAGACTCGGCGGGAATGAAACGACGAACATCCAACGCAGTGATGGCATACATGGATTTCGCCTCGTTCTTGTGATGCTTCTGGCCTTCAGCCAACTGTAGCGAGAGAGAGGCCAGGGGAAGAGCGTGTAGAAGACCTGCGATAGTAGTCTTATGCGCTCGGCACTTCTCAACAACTCTCTTCAATGTTGCGTCGTCGATTGAGATGGTTTTGAACACAGTTCGATAAGGCTCCTCGTGGATAGGAGCCCAATTGACCTGTGTAGGGTCGCTCGATACAAGAAACGGGGGTCTTAGCTCTTTCCAAATGGTGGATAGAGCAAATCCCCATGAGATAGGGATCTTGATAAGCTTCTCTGGTGGCGGTGGGAATCTATCCGCAACACTCTCCAGGATCAGCACATTGTCCTTGAGGGAGTCCAATTTTTTGCCGACTTTGGGATCGTTGAGATTACGCAGGAGGCTCTGGTGGAAGATCTTGCCTGCTACGCCATCACAATTGGTGTGATTCCAGCAAAAGATAACATCCAGTGACGCCAAAGGCCCTTCTGGATATAAAACAGACATTCTCCACCCCGGCTTAGACTCAACATCGGTAAACCAAGTGTCGAGTTGACTGCCGATAGCTTTCTTCAAGGAAACATCATAGTCTTTGGGTTGTTGGATCTTTTCCCAAGTCACATGTGTACCGAGATCAATTCTTTCGAGCTCGATCCATGATGGCATAGCTGAGTCTTCATTCAAGATTCCCACTTGTAGCATTGGATGTTCGATTACTGTGAGTGCCACAGCCATGCGGAAGGCATCTTGGGCATTTTCAACTGTACCTCCAATGAGGCGCCCTGGGAGAACATAACGGCACGTTACAGCAGTTCCACAGCTATGTCGTAAAGTATGTAGGGCTGAGTGATACAATTCTCTGTTATAGTCAGTACATTGATACAATTGGAGGTTGAAGTTGAAAGAGGCCATACAGATTGCTCATTGGTCGGATGACCTTGGGCTTTCCTTGTGGTGCCATTTTGCCGTTTTGCCGTTTGTGTGAATAAATAGCTTCAGAGTCAAATAAGGGTTGTTCCAGTGTTGTATCGATACAAACTTTATTAGACTAGCTATTCGTTGTATTTATCTGATGTTTTACGAATGCGGTCTCCGCGGGATACCGTCTCACCTTGCCGCGGATGGGCGAGTAGGATGCGAATGCATGTTTCCTTAGAATGAGATAACTGAGAAGATAACGCCAAGGCAATTGTCCTATAAGATTGAGTCTATTTTGTAAGGGTGACAGACAAGTACTGAATTTGTTTACTTTGGACTACGCAGTCAGCTGCGGCTGTTTGTTCTGTACTTGAAGTTTAGGACTTCCTGACATCCGACCAATTCCGTGTTTTAACAGTTTTAAACCAGCAGTAAAAAATGACAACTAACAATGAATAAATTGAGAAGACATGAGTATAGCATCATGTGGTAATGTCTCGTATTAGTGTATATTGGCACTCTCATATCTACTCTAATGATGATCGTGCTAAGTTTAGGGTAGTCTTTACCACATGGATGATCAATTGACCTTCATGTTTGACAATCTACACAGATCCAGTCTCCCATTTGTGGCGTCATGCTAACTAAGATCACTCTTGTCTGTTTATGAGGCGGCCCTCAGAGTATCGAAAAAACTTGACCGCTGGAAGCATAAGAGATGAAATTAGTAGGTCACTTTATGTTCCTTAGACTATGGTTCTTAGACTACTTATTGTTATACCCTAAGGCTTGGGAGGCACTAGGCGGCATTAAACGCAGATAATGTGATTTAATCGGCTGCCTCTCAATACCCCTGAAAGACTGGCGATCATAGTCGTATCTTGGAACTAAGACATTCGATGTCATCCAGATCTTCAAATCTGTGTTCCACCTCTTTTCTAGTTGACAAACCATAAACAAAGACTAGGCTAGGAGACTTGGCCGTCGGCGGATCAGATACAAGCGCCGTTCTCTATGAGCGGTTCTTAACGACATGAATCGTTCATTTCAACCTAGAGCGATCGCCATCACCTTGTGAGATGCTAGGAGGAATGGGCATCGATTCAACGAAGCCAGTGGGTAACAGAAAAAGGATAGTCTCCAAATGTTGGGGTATAAAAATAAATAACCTTGGAGTGTAGTCCAAACACCATAAACTAACTTGTTCATTTTGTCTCTTATACCACACACGCCAAGATTAAATCCTCATCAGCCCAGGGGATAGTAGAAAATCCAATACCTAGGCTTATAATGCAGATAATAAATAGTCTAAGAGCGGGTTCAAGATCATAAAGTAACTAAACCATCTTGTTTCTTAGGTAAGGTATTTGCTGCAATATCACAGGCCAGTTCTTTTTTTTTCTTTTCTTTCTTTTTAACACTCACTATGGATGCAATTTGGACAATCTTCATTATAAATGAGAAGCCGGTCAAAGATCGACGTTATTCATCTGCCTATGATAGAGTTGCGTCGAATACACTGTGAGGGGCCTAAGAAACCGACCACCATGATCTGCTTGATCGCGAAACCATAATAGGGATAGCAGCGGATGAGTCGATGGAATAAGGATTCTGTGGGTTTGTTGGGTCGCAAGGATGGCATATCAGTCGCCCACAACCCTAGCTGTACATGACCACAGCACGTAATAAAGGCCTATCGCAGGTCGTCTGCCTGTGATGACGGGTGTATACTGTTGAAGGAACATATTGGTTGGGTGCCTCAGTGCCTGACCTGTAGGCTCGGGGTATATGTTGCTTTGTGGTTGTCACGATATGATCTGAGTCGATTTGACCAGGTTCGGGTATCTACGATTGGGAGCAAGAAAGCGGTACCCTCCCCATCTAAGTCCTCTGAAGGCCCGTTCCGCTGATCTTTCTACCAGGAACATTTGAGCTTCAAGATAATCTGAAAATACAGTATCAAGCCGCCTGGGATGTAGTGGCATACCTGAGCTTCATGTCTCTATCGTATGGTGTTCAGTCACCTCACCAAGGCATGTAAAAAGCGAGCTCCTACGATGATCAGAACCAGGCCACAGTCCAGGTTGCTGGCAGGTTGGGCCATCTTTCCTGCCACGAAGCGAGAACGTCAGGTACTCGCTCATCAAACGTAGCTCTACTCGACGCAGAACCGTTATCGAAAGCAGAGGCGCCAACGGCCTCACGCTCTTCCCGAGCGGCTGCATTGAGGGAATTGGCAAGGTCCAGGATACCTTGACCACCAACAGCAGCTTCCTCGTGGTTATCCTTGATTTCAACATTGATGACATGGACAGGTCGGTTAAGGGGAGAGCCTCTGTTCATGAGGTCATCCACAACAGCGTCCCAGCATCGTTCTTCGCAGGTAATGACAATGTCGACCAGACCGCCCTCAGTACCCTCGCTGCCACGGTCTTTGGCGTGCTGCAGGCGAGGTACACCGACCTGCCAGTCTTGCCAGCGCTCTGGACCCCATTTGACTCCGCGATTACGATTCAACATATTCAGGATACCATTATTCTTATACAGTCGAGCGTCCTTGGACTCAAGCTCTTTGAACATACTGTCATAGGAAGTCTTGTTAAAGTGGTATACGTTAGGTTGGGTAATGGTAGGTCCAGGCAAGCGGACGAGAGAACCTGTGCCGAAGGAGATGACAGGGTAATCAGCCTGCGAAAGCCGGAGATGGGCCTCCATAGATCTTTTCGCATGTTAACAAAACGCTGTTAATTGTAGGACAAGTATGTACGAACCGGTTGTTGTTACTGGCACAGACAGTGCAGAATTTTAGTTTGTATCCGTTGTTGCCTTCAGATGAGCCATTTTGGCCTTGGGCCGCAGAGCCACCATTAGCAACCTCCATCTCTTCAAGGTTCTAGCCGGGCGAGAAAACGAGATTATTGGTGGGCGCAAAAGCGCGTGGCATGCTCGAGTAGCAGGACGCGCGATAAACTACGAGGCAACGATGTCAGCACGTTGTCTCTGTGTATAAGTAATTCATAAACAAATGATGTAATCAATCTTCAGATAAAAAAGCGTATAAAGTGTCTTTTCAGCAAAGGAAATTCAGACAGCTCCAATATGTTAAACTCATCATAGAAATGTTGTTTGTGTATCAATCAATCATGCAGACACTTACCAGTTGTGAATATCAGATTGGCACAATTACTTTCATCTCGTCGTCGTCTTTCTACTTGGGTTGTGCGCGACGCGTGAAGAAAGTTCTTTGCAGGAAGAAGGAGGTTGGAGAATTGTGGTGAAACTGTTAAAAAGCTGAGAGCTAGGGCGAGATGACGCTAGTTTCCACAATTGTCGGCTAAAGTGCGGTGCGATAGAGAATTAGTAAGCAGCCGCGTTGGCATTGAGACATCAATGGAAGGTCTATGGAAAAAGGAAGCGTTTTCTTGATGCGGGAAGGATAACGACAGGCTTTGAGAGCACGGAGATAATTCTGTCAAAATCTGCGTGAAATTACCAGCTGTATTGATGGTTGTTGTTTTCTTTAGTAACTGACCACAAGGTTATAATGAGGCATGGTAAAGCTAACAGAGAAACACGGGATGAACAACAGCGTATTGATTCTAACGTCGTCAGACGCTGGCAGCGGAATGATCCCTTGAGACGGAATTCGCATCTAACGCCACTTATAGAATCTAATAGAATCTGTAATATCGTTCAGGAAGCTGACATTAGTATCCTTGAAGCAGCAAGAATACCTGCCCGTTGAAGATGAGGAAGACAGAATAAAGCAGTCAGTTTGTTGATAATACCAGCAGGGGCTTACAGAGATTCTTTTAGTATCCAAGGCTCGGGTATCTAGTTTTCTGTTCGCTTTATTCCATTGGGTGGTCAGACGGCTGAGATTCCTTGTTGCTTAGGATCGACCCAGCGGGAGGATCTCCACCCGAAGCTTACTGAGAGATTTTATTGGCTATTAAACGCCTGCATAACCTGAAACAAACGACGCTTTGACGTTAGCCAATCATGGTAGAGACCAACCTACTAGGAATACATAGGAACCTCGAGAAGACTCAAAAGACACTGAAGACTCGGATAACAGAAGCAAGTCTTGTTGATTACTTGTTGTAAAACAATATAATAATTTATTCGGGCAGTGCTTACATCATTAAGTTGGCTTGAGCTTATTATCTTTCCGTACCTTAAACTTGTGAAGTGCATCTCCCGAGTTCTCATCGCATCACAGCGAGTTGCAGTGCACCATGAACAACCATGTTTGTTGCAATGGTTGTAATATTGCAGATCACTGTCACCTGTGCTAGCCCTGCATGTCCAATTACGCTACACCACCTTTCAATGAACCATAGAAATTATCTCGTGTTAATTAGTCGTGGATGTATCCGCAATCTGCAGCCATTAAAGCCTCGGCCGTTGACAAGATCGTGGGCCCCCGGACTGAACCTGGGATCAAGATCCCAAAAGCCCGATAAAGACTCGAAGACAACAACAACATGTGCTAAGGGAAGATCCATGCCATCAATTCCCCTGTTCGTCTCGCTTTGCCTCGCCTTGCTTCCAGCTTCCTACGTAGCCGACCTCAATCTAGTTGCCCCTGTCATACACCTTTCGGGGTCTAGTTTCATCATCCTGCGCGCCATAAGCATGGTAATTTCCAGAGAAGCCAGGAAATGTTGACGGGATGATCCCATTGCGACAGCAACGATGCAATGTGCGGAGATTGCTTTCTATGGTGACCCAGTTGAATTCTCCTGGTTGCCTTGATTCAGCTAGATCTACCTATCTGCAGATAGATGAACCAAGTTCTAACGGCCCGGGTGGGCATCCAGCAAGACTCCCGTTGGGAGTCGTCGTACGTCTTGTCTACGTAGGCGCATGCGCATGCAAGACGACAAGCAATATGCCAGTTCCGGGAGGAACACGAGGGACACTGAGCACGGGCTTAAGAGTAGAAAAGAAGTGCAGAGAACGTCGTGGCGTCCTTGGCTTTGTTTGTTGATCGAATATACGTACAACTTTTAATTAATTACATGGTTAAGAACTTACTTA